CGCGCTCACCAGTCTGCCTGGGTCCGTTTCAGTCTGGCTGGGGACTCCGCTGCACGTCTGCAGGGCGGGCGAGATTACTCAAGAGAGCGGCTGCTGTGGGGGCCAGGGCAGAACAGAGCCAGGTGCGGGGCCGTGCTCGAGCCGGGCAGTTCTAGCCCCGGCGGGTGGAGACAGCCCACTCACATCTCCTTCCCTGGATCCCACTCCCTTAGATCCGGCTGAAACCGGCAAAGTCCGATTCTCGTGAGCCAGGATCATGAGATTAGGTCCGCTCTAGTCCTGCCCTCTGAGGCCCCGATTATAGTCACAAGGGAGACGGTTTGGAGTCTGAATCCCACCCACCAAGTTAGAGGGCCTCGGGGAACACTTTAGGTTTTCCACAGAGAGCCCTAATAAAGTGCGAAACCAAACCTGAAACAGGTTCAAACAGTAATCAAGCTGCCTACTACTACAAAAGTCAACACTCTTCAGAGGAAGATAAAATCTAGACTTACATCATCTACAGTGTCTAAAATACAACACAAATTATCTAGAATTGAAAAGAAACAGGAAAGTCAATAAAAACAAAGCAGTTAATAGATTTTCTCTGGATTTACCAGGCAAAACGTTAAAGCAGTTATTGTAAAATACGAAATTCAGCCCAGAAGAGGAAACCATAAAAAAGAAACACATGGGAAATTTTAAAGTATAAGAACTAAATTGAAAATTCACTAAGTAGGTTTAACAGCAGATTGTAGCTGACAAGATCAACACACTTGGAGACAGATCGATGGAAATGATCCAATATGAAGGAAGGGAACAAAAAGATGGAAGAAAAATGAACAGACTCCTCAAGAACCCTCCGGATAATACAAAATGGTCTAATATACAGGTGATTGAAATCCCAGAAAAATAAGATAGAATAGGGCTGAAAAATATTTGAAGAAATAATGCCCCCCAATTTCCAAAATTTCATTACAATCATCAACTTCCACCTGCTAGAAGCTCAGTGAACTCCAAGCGGGGTAGGTATAAAGAGAAACACACCAAGGCACATCACGGTTAATGTGATTAAAACCAAAGATAGAAAGAAAATCCGAGGAGTCCAGATTAAAAATGCACATCGCTGACGGAACGGCGACGTTCTCCGTGGAAAACCGGGGAGGAGAAGGAGCCGCGTGGTGGCGCCTGCAGTCCCAGGCACTTGGGAGGCCACGGCGGACGGTTGCTGCTGAAGGTTGCAAAGAGGAACTCATACGGTTACTTCTAAGAGTTTGTGGTTTTAGCTCTTCTGTTTAGGTCTTTGGTGGATCTGGAGTTACATTTTGTATATGGTATGCACTAGGGACGCAAATTCATTCTTCTTTATTTTTGTATTTATTTATTTATTAATATTTGTTTAGAGGTGAGGGTCTCACACTATGTTGCCCAAACTGGTCTCAAACCCCTGGCCTCAAGCAATCCTCCTGCCTTGGCCTCCCAAGTACCTGGGATTATAGACGAGGGCCGTGCCTGTGGATGCTGCTATGATCACGGGCGCACTGGTATCTGTGCAAGCCACCACTTTCAATTCTTTCGGATATTTACTCAGAAGCGGAATTGCTGTATCAAATGGCAATTTTATTTATTTATTTATTTTTGAGACAGTATCTCAGGCTTTCACCGGGGCTGGAGGGCAGTGGCATCATCACAGCTCACTGCAGCCTCCAACTCCTGGGCTCTAGCGATCCTCCCACCTTAGCCTCCCAAGTAGCTGGGACTACAGGTGCCACCACCCCAGCTAATTTTTGCATGTTTTGTAGAGTCAGGGTCTTGCTGTCCTGCTCAGGCTGGTCTCAAACCCTGGTCTTGAACTGGTCTCAAGTGATCCTCCTGCCTCAGCCTCCAAAAGTGCTGGGATTATAGGCGTGAGCCACTGTGCCCAGCCTCAAAGGAATTCTTTATGTTCCAAAGTCACTTAACACTCTGAAAGCTACCAACCTTCCTCATCTCCTCAAAATCTTTCATGGAACCGTAACTTCTATAGAAACTATATGCTTTCTTTCTTGGTTCAGCCACGGCAAACTTAGAGAACTGCAACCCCCCGGGAGACAACAAATGCTCCCACAAAATGCAATTGTACACGCCTGGCCAGAAGGCCCGCATCTGGGGTTTTGCCGGAGCACTGGCTGCGGTGGCAGCTGCGTCCTCGGCAGGGAGGTCGCCTGGGCACGGCCCTCCTGGCTGGTGCAGAAGGGAGCTGTGCCGGCTCTTCTTGGACGTAGAACTCGCCCGTGAGGCCGTCAGGTCTGGGGTCTGTGGTGACGAATCTCATCACCTTACTGTTCAAAAGCCTATTCAGATTTTCTGTTTCTTCCCAGGTCAGTCTCGGTTGTGTTTCTAGTTGTCCGCCCACTGAGGTTTTCCAGTTTGCCGGGGAGCAACTGCCCCTGCACCGTCTCACGGTCATTTACGTTTTCCTAGACTCACTTCCATTTCAGTAAAACTGAGTCTTCCCTTTTCTTCTTAGTCATTTTAGCTAAAAGTCTGTCAATTTTTTCAAAGAAACAACTCTTGGTTTTATTGATTTTCTATATTTATTCTTTTCTCTGTTTCTGTCTGTGCTAATCGTTATTTCCTTCCTGCTGTTCACTTTGGGTTTAACTTGTTCTTTTCTTCTAGTTCCTCAAGCTGTAGAGTTAGGGTGTTGACTCGAGATCTTTCTTCTTTTCAGTGCAAGCGTTTGCAGCTATAAATCTCTCGCTAGCGTTGCTTTTGCCACATCACACACGTTTTGGCAAGTTGTGTTTTTGCTTCTATTTGTCTCCAAGTATTTTCGAATTTCTTTTCTGTTTTATTCCTTGATACACTGTTTAAGAGTGTGTTGTTAAATTTCCACAAATTTGTGATTTTTCCAGTTTTCCTCTGCTACCGACTTGTAACTTCATTCCATCGGGCGCAGAGAAGATGCTTGTTTGCGACATCTCCTAGACGCACTGAGACTTGGTTTGTGGCTCACATGGGTCTGTCCTGGGGCGTCCGTGTGCGCTCGAGGAGACTGCACGTGCTGCTGCCGCGGGTGGAGCGCTGCCCGCAGCTCCGTTAGCTCTGCCTGGTTTATTGTCCTGTTCAGGCCCCCGGGCTGAGGGGTGTTCCCTGAGCAGGGACATATTCTTGTGACCTGCCATAACATGGCCTCGTGTGACCTGTGCCCGTGGCCACCTCGCTGCCGTGGGGGGCTAACAGTGCCTGCCTAGAGGACCCTGTCTGGTTCTTCCCACCAGGCCAGCTCCCTGGAGCCCCCAGCCCGCCCGCAACACCATCTGCTCCCGAGATGTCCCTGCGCCACCCCCACGCTCCGTTACCCGGCACCCAGAGCCAGCCCGGTCCAGCAGGGCCTTGAGGCCGGGATGGGCCGTCTCTACCCAGGACATCCGAGCTGCAGGACCAGCTATGCCAGGGAATGGCTGTTTCAATAAAAATGGAAAATTACTGGCTGGAAAGTTCATAATCATAACCCAGCACAAATCGGGAGAATTGTGGCTGGTCACTTAGGAGAAAAGCCTCAAGACCTTCTAAGTGGATCTGAACTTAGACTAAAAAAGGAAAGAAAGAAACGAAATGGTCCAATCTCAGAGAATGGCTTGAATAACAAGCTGCCATTTCAGAGCTATTGGACAGCGACATGATGCTTTCAATTATAAGACCATTGCTGACAAGGCTGAGGCAAAACGAATATAACGTTACATTTGCAGAGGCATTGCAAGTCGAACTCACTCTTTTTGTTGAACTCACTCTTTTTTTTGAGACAGGTTCTGGCTCTGTTGCCCAGGTGGGTCTTGACCTCCTGGCCTCAAATGACCCCCCCGCCTTGGCCTCCCAAAGTGCTGGGGTTACAGGCGTGAGCCGCTGCGCTCAGCCGAGCTGACTCTTTGGGTCGGCATCTGCCATAGCGGCTGTAAAACCACTCGCGTTCTGGGTGATAATCCGCTCGCAGGAATCTACCCCCAGACACCCCTCCTGTTGGTGCCAACATGTTCTCGCCCACGATGACACTGTCCACGGTGGGGCCCAACCAAGGGTGTGGGTTCAGCGCAGGCTGGGGGCATCCTCACGTGATGGTCAGAGGGAGACTCAGATGCCCCAAACCCCACATCTGGCATGAATCGAGTGCCCAGCAAACCCACGTCCACTCTCAGGGGCTGGAGGCAACGTGGGCAGATGCGGATGGCTGACGCTGGTGGCGTCTGCTCTCAGGAAGCCTGACTGGTGCTGGGACAACCCTGCAGCAACTGTTTCCTCGTCTCCACTGCTGAGACGAAGGTTTCGGTTTTGCCGAAGTGACCTCTGGACGCTGTCGTTCTGAGGCCCCGCCATCCTCTCCTGCCCACAGCCCCAGGCGCACAGAGCCGGAGCCTCTTCCTGTGCTGCAGGGAAGACCCAGCAGTGCTGGACCCCCGTGTCTTTGGGGTGCATTTTGCTCCCGGCCACGAACCAGGGAACCAGATGGAAACCAGCCCTCGCCAACTCCAACCTGGTTATGTGGGCACTGCCTCCCTGACCCTGCTACGTCCACGTCTGCACACACCCACACACACCTGTGCACATACCGACCTGCACACACACTCTTGACAGGGCTACACAGCCACGTCTGCGTGCTGACGACCATGCATACACACGTGCCTGTACACGTGCGTATACCCGAGTACACGTGTCGTGCACACACTCATACCCACACAAGCACACAGCTGTACACACACACGCACACACACACGTTGGTCCATGCTGCGCTGAGAAACCAGGTGCGACACTCCGGACAACGTCCTCCCAGGACAGCGTCTGCCCAGTTCCCACTGCCCCTGCAGGCGCCCCCACGACCCCGCCGCGTGCGTGGGCTCACAGAGTTTGATGGGTTTAAGGCTCGCTGGTCAGGACCGCGAGGAACACGCCGGAGACAGTCTCAGGGCAGAGCCCTCCCTGGAGGGAAGAAGGGCAGGAGTCGACGAAGACAGGAGCCGAAACGAGTGCGGAGGAAGCTTTACTCACGGCAGCGGCGCGCGAGGGGCCGGGAAGGTCACGGCTCTGGCGTCCCGTCCCCCCGTGGGAGGCACCAGTCAAGGGCTGGTGGGTCTCTGCTCAGAGGTGTGGGTTAGGGGTGTTCTCAACCCCGAGCGATCCCCAAACAAAAGTCTCCCACTGTTTTACGGACCTGGGGCCCAGTGGAGGGGAGCACGAGCCCAGGCATGGAAGGGTCCTGAATACTGCCAAGTCGGAGAAGCGTCTTTGAGGCCCCACCCGGAAGCCTCCAGGCAGTGGCGCCTGGGCCGGGAGCGCAGCTCTAGCTAAGAGCTCAGCGCCCCGGCCCCAGTCCAGACTGCAGTGCCCGGCCCCGTACCCGGGAGAGCAGCCGCCCCGTGAGGCCTGCCAGGCGGCGCCCTGGCGACTGCCCGTGGTCCGGCCTGAAAAACCACAGGCAGGGCCTTGGTGTGGGCCGGCTCCTCAGCACTCGGCCCACCCGGAGAAACGCAGGACGGAGCCCTGGGAGCAGAGCCCTGCGCAGCACAGCCCTCCCTGTCTTCCTGGGGAGGCCCCTGGCACTCGGAGCGCCTGGGACTGGGGGTGCTGCAGGCCTGGCGGGGACAGTGCCATTCCCGTGCCTGGCACCTGCGGCAGAGCCAGAGCCAGCCCCGGGTCAGGGGTCACTGGTCACCGAGAGACGGGGTCACCCTGCCTGGGGCACCAGGCCGTGTCCGGGTAGAGAAGGCAGTGGATGGACTTAAACCTGGGGAGAGAGAGAGTGGGGGTCAGGTCTGTGGGTGGGGGCCGAGCACCAGGACCCCCGACCACCGCCCACTCACCGTGTGGGATCCTGCTGCAGGCTGAAGACTCCGGCGACATTCACCACGTTATGGGGGTTCTCGGGACCCCCGTAGCTCAAGGTGACCTAGAAGGGGATGGGGGCCGAGGGCACGGGCTGCTCTGGTCTCAGGCCCAGGGCCTCCATGCCCTCCCCAGCCCAGAAACCCCTGTCAGAGGGGCCCTAGATCCACCCACTCCTCCCCCCGCCCCCCCCCCTGCCAGTCCTCCAGGCCAGGGGTGGGGCACAGGTGGCGCCATCACCACCCAACCACTCCCACTGCCTGGTTGTCCCACCCCCTAGGGTCTGCCCTTCCCCCATCCATCTCCTGCTCAGACTCGATGTCCGCACCTGCCCCGAGCAGTGGAGCAGACGCTCGTCCAGCAGCCAGGCCTACAGGGTCCACTCCAGCCCTTGCTGAGCTGGGGCCCTGAGGAGTGAGGTGGGGCGAGGCCACAAGGCAGGAGCGCCTCCAGAGGCCCCAGGGAGCAGAGCACCCATACCTGCTGGAGCACAGCGTCCCGCGGCAGCCCCTGCAGGTTCTCCAGGTGGGAGTGGAAGAGGGAGCTGTGCAGCAGGCGGGCGCCCAGCAGCCCCTCCACGATGTAGCCCACCGTGCAGTCGTCGGGCAGCCGCACCCGCTCAGCCGTGCTCATGAAGCTGCCCAGGCTGTGGGGAGGGGCCGTCAGCGCCTCCTCGGCCCTCGCTGCCCTGCTCCCCCGGCCCTGCCGCCTCCCACTCACCTGGCCCACGGGCTCATCTTGAGGGCGAGACCTCTGCTGAGGCAGAACCCGGCCCCACCGGTGGCAAACCAGAACTTGACTGTGGTCGCCTGTGGGGAGGGGTGGTGGTCAAGGCGGCCCGGGACACGCTCCTCACCCCGACCCCTCGCTGGGCTCCCCAGGCATCTCCCCTAGGCAGAGGCTTGGAGGTCTGGGCCAAAGCCCCTCCTGGCCTGCCCAGCTCCCGGAAGGCCACACTGAGCTGCCTGGTGCACCAGCATGTGCCCCCAGCCCGGCACCCCGCTAGGCCCGGCTTTCCAGGCTCTCAGCTGCACCTCCCTGGCCCTGGCACTCACGGTTCCGCCTCCCTGGACCCTCTCGGTGGCCTCGATGGGGTGGTCCAGGCTGGGCCGCCCCAAGTAGATGTCCTGGCTGGGCGAGAAGGTGGACAGCAGATGCAGGAGGCTTTCGGGGTTCACGTAGTTGTCGTCATCCACGTGGCAGAACCACCTGCAGGGGAAGGGAACCTCGTTGCGAGGGTGGCCCAAGGCCCCCAGCCCAGCTCAGCCCTGGCTCCCTGAGGACCACAGCCACCGCGTACTTGCGCCCAGACTCGATGAACTTGTCGTACTCCACGGACATCTTGCAGCACAGGGCCTGGCGGGTGCGCACGGCAGAGCAGTTGGTGTTGATGACGCGTCCGCCTGCCCGGTTGGAGAAAGGGGAACGTGAGGGGCGAGGCTGGCAGAGTGCTGAGCAAGGCCTGTGTCCAGCCGCCCCCGTGAGGTCCAGGGCAGAACGCGGCTGTCGGGTGGGCCTGGCTGCCTCGCCCAGACCCAGTCGCAGCCCCAGTTCAGCCCCCACTCGGCAGACAGCGTTGGTAATCTCTGAACTTAATGGGGACGATAATCACTTGGGGTCTCATGTGGAATCGGGCAGAGATGGAAGGGACAATGCTGGGCTTCTTTGGGGACGTGGCACTGCCCTGAGGCCCCGGGAAGTTCAGCGGAGTTTGGCTGGCAGGGAAGACGCTGGGCTGGCCAGGAGGTGGGCGCTGTGGCTCTACTCTCTGTGGTCTGTGCGACTCTGGGCAGGGGCCTTCGCCTCCCTGGACCTCCCACACGTGGGCAGAGGACGACAACAGTCCCCATAACACAGGAGCGTGACCCCCGGCCTCTCTTCCGGAGCAGGACGGCACTGTGCCCCCGGCGAGGTGGGGACCCCATACCGCCGGCAGAAGGGCTGGGGAGATGCTCACCTCCCCGGAGCTCGAGCTCAGGGTCGTCCCCGTCCGTGAAGATGAACGTCTGGGGAGAAACGGCCAGACAGGCATCAGGGGGCTGCCCGGGGCGACCCTCGGGAGGACCCGAGTGCCCTGCGCCCCGACCCCTTCGGTCCGCGGCCTCGGAGGGAGCGGTGCCAGCCGCGGGGAGCCGGGGCCAGGGTGCCGGGCGGGGGCTGCGCACCTGCCGGCGAGCCCGGGAGATCCAGGTGCGCAGCAGCAGCCGCAGCCGCGGCCCGTGGTTCTTCCGGGTGGTCTTGACTGCGATGAAGACGTCGTCGGGCCGCAGGCCAGGGAGGGCGGCGGGCGGGGCCGGGGCGGGGGTCCGGGCGGGCGCGCGGGGCAGCGGCAGCGGCAGCAGCAGCAGCGCGGCCAGGGCCGCGGCCAGCGCGAGGCAGGCCCGGCACAGCGCCCCCCGCGCGCGGCTCATGCGGCCGCCGCGACCCCCGACGCCGGGCGGGCGCGCCTGGCCGGAGCCGCGGGTGGGCGGCGGCCCCTTTAAGCGCGCGGCCGCCCCGCCCCGCGCCCCGGAAGCGGCGGCCGCACTGCCCCGGAAGTGGACGGCGCGCCGCGGCGGGGTGGGCGCAAGATGCCGCTGCCGGTTCAGGTGTTTAACTTGCAGGTAACGAGCCGAGGCCGCGCCGCCCCCGCGCCCCGCGCCCCGCGCCCTGCCGCCGGGGCCGGGCGAGGCCAACCGGGGCGCGGGGCCTGCGCCAGGGGCTGGCCGGGCGCTCCGGGCCGGGCCTCCGCGGGCAGCGAGCGTCGGGGCCGCCGCGTCGGGGCCGCAGGCCGGGGCCTTGCCTCCGCCGCGGCTGCGCGCCCGCCCGCCGCCCTCCCTGCCCCCAGCCGCTCGGGAGGGTCTGGGCCGCCGACGCTAACGCTCTTTCTCCCTTCAGCAGCCAGCCAGCTCTGTGTCAGGGTCGGGGGGTGCAGAAAGTCAGGACAGAATGAGGGATAGCTCGGCCCCCAGCTCGGCCTCCTCGTCAGTGACAGATCTGTACTGCACCCCTCACAGCAGTAGGTCAGACCTCTTCCTGCCTGGCACGGCCGGGGACTTCAGCCTGAGCGCCAGTCTGTCGGCCTGTACGCTGCTTTATGAGGTACCTTCCAGGAGAGGGGGCCCCAGCGAGCGAGCGAGGGAGGGGGGAGCAGGGCGCCAGCCGCCGCCGTGGCTGGGCGCTGCTGCTCTGCCGGCCGAGGACAGGGACTCAGTGCCAAGCAGGAGGGCGGGGCGCGGCGCGCCCGGGGTCTGCTGAGGGAGCCGCGCTCTGTGCTTTTCCGCAGGAGAGCCGAGGCCGGGGCCGCCCGGGCTCCTGCCGGGCTGGGCGCAGCGGGCTTCTTCCAGCCCGCTCTGTATAGGTCCTAAGGCGAGGTCCTGGGCCCTCTGTCCCTCCCAGCTGGGGGCCACAGGACTCCCTGAGACGACTCCTTTCCCTTCTCCCAACCCCGTGGCGTGACTCTCAGCCCCGTATGGCTGCTCCAGCTGCTCAGGACAGATTCCGGGGGCTGGTTCTCCTACCGCCTGGGGTTAAGGTGGCGTTTGTTTCTTTTCTATGGCTCGGAGGAAGCTGCATCAGGACGGTGGCTGGGAATGTGCAGGGGCCCTGGGGGTCCCTCTGTAGTTGGTCCTCCCAGTGTCTGCTTTCCCGCTCCAGAGATGGGCGGTTAGAGCGGGGCGAAGGGCCTCTCCCTGATGTAGGGTGCTGGAGCCCGGGTGGGAGTGAGGATGGGCTGGGGAGGGCGTGCCTGGGGGTGAGTGGTCCGATCGTGCCTTGGAAGATCCGGGGCAGAGCTGACCACGGGAACAGTGAGGGTCTCTCGCCCTCCCTGGGCAGTCCCCGGCTTGAGGTGCCAAGGTGCCCGGCCCATGTTGCAGGGGGCCGTGGAGCCCATGCAGATCGACGTGGACCCCCAGGAGGACCCACAGAATGCACCTGATGTCAACTACGTGGTGGAGAACCCCACCCTGGTATGGAGCCCCGGGGAGAACAAGGGGTATCTCAGTCCTTCCAGAGGGTCCCAGCTAGACTCCCCACCACAGCCCATGCAGCAGATAGGCCCACTCTTCTCAGAAACCTCTCCAGTCATGTCTTTTTCTGACCTGGAAACCTCCAGGGTTTCCAGTTGCCTGCTCATGTCGGGTTCATAGCCCAGCTTGAGACCCTGCGCCCACTTCTTGCCCACGTGGAAGAGCTCTGCTCCTGGCCCACCACCCCCAACTACAGAGCTCTACCCTGGAGGCTCCTGCCCCCAGCCCACGCCGGTGGTCTCTCCTCAGCCCCGGGACGGCAGTCGATCTTGTGATCCCAGGCGCAGAGACCAGTTCCTGTCATGGGCCCAGGGCCTTTTTGGCTTGGGTGAAGGGTCAGCATTCTGGCCAGGACAGTAAGGCCTCTGCACCTGACTCACTGGCCCAGGGTTGGGGTCTGGGGTCCTGGCCTGCATACCTTGCATGACCTCATCTGCTCCCCCGGCCCCACCCCAGGATCTGGAGCAGTACGCGGCCAGCTATAGCGGCCTGATGCGCATTGAGCGGCTACAGTTCATTGCTGATCACTGCCCCCCGCTGCGGGTGGAGGCCCTGAAGATGGCCCTCTCCTTTGTGCAGAGGACTTTTAACGTGGACATGTATGAGGAGATCCACCGGAAGCTCTCAGAGGCCACCAGGTGAGGCCAGGCGCTTGGCACGAGGAGGTGGAGGCCGCAGTGGGAGCAGGCACCCGGGGCTGGGCATGTGTGTCCCCCTCCTGTGCCCTGTAATTCCCGGCACCCCTACCTCTGTGCGGTGCTCACAGCAGCACTCACCGGCACAGCGAGGCTGCCGTACGCAACAGGGACGTGCTTCCCTGTTGAGAAATTGGGGCAGGTGGTGCTCTCGTTCCTGACTGGGGGAACGGAAGCTCCCCGTGCGCCCCAGCCTCTTTCCACACGTGTGTGTACGTTCAGGTGTTCTGAGTGGAGCTGTTGGCAGAGATGACGTGGAGGTGGTGGCCTGGCAGGGCTGCGTGTGGCAGCCCCTCGTCCCGTTGGGCTTTCCCACCTAGTTGTGGGCTTCTGGGGTCAGCGATGGTCTCTGTGCCTCTCGTGCAGACTGGGCCCCTCAAGGTGGGGCTGGGGACAGGCAGGGGCCCATGGGAGGTGCCCACCTGCCTACAGAATAGCCTCTGGAGGCCAGCCTGTGGCTGGCGACTTCTCCCCACCTCCCTGATGGCCAGGTCCTCTCTCAGGGAGCTACAGAACGCACCCGACGCCATCCCCGAGAGTGGCGTGGAGCCGCCACCCCTGGACACGGCCTGGGTGGAGGCCACTCGGAAGAAGGCCCTGCTGAAGCTGGAGAAGCTGGACACAGACCTCAAGAACTACAAGGGCAACTCCATCAAGGAGAGCATCAGGTGCCGGCCCGCCCGGGCGGTGGGGGGCGGGCGGCCAGGCCCAGAGGGGCCCCACCAGCGTCTGCTCATGGCTGGACCCATAGGCGTGGCCACGATGACCTGGGCGACCACTATCTCGACTGTGGGGACCTCAGCAACGCCCTCAAGTGTTACTCCCGGGCCCGAGACTATTGTACCAGCGCCAAGCACGTCATCAACATGTGCCTCAATGTCATCAAGGTCGGGCCTGCGGCAGGCGCGTGGGTGTGGAGGGGATACCTGCGCAGCAGCACTTGCTGTGGGCCCGGAGGGGGTGCCCCGGCTCAGTCTGTCCCCACCTACTCGTCTACCAGGTCAGCGTCTACTTGCAAAATTGGTCTCACGTGCTGAGCTACGTCAGCAAGGCTGAGTCTACCCCAGAGATTGCCGAGGTACAAGCCGCCACCTCTGAGACGCTGCCCAGGAGCCCTGGCCGCTGCTGGTGCCTCTGAGGCCCCTCACCATGTTCTCCCCCAAGTCTGACTTTGTTCCCTCTCGGGTTGGGGACAGGGACTGGGCATGGAGTTGCAGGGGATGAGGAGGGCGTGGGCCTCACGTGTGTGGCTTCCCTCTGCAGCAGCGAGGAGAACGGGACAGCCAGACCCAGGCCATCCTCACCAAGCTCAAGTGTGCCGCAGGTGAGGGCCTGGGTGCCAGGGCGAGGGAGCCACAGCTGACCCCCCGAAACGCCCCGTTCATTGAGTCCTCACACGTAGGGAAGGGGTGCTCGTCCTGTGTCGCAGCTGGGGAAGCCTTTGCTGTTTGTCAGAGTGCAGGGTGCACAGGTGTAGGTGACGCCTGCTCAGGTCCACCAGGGAGAAGCCGTGTGGTCTGGGTCAGAGGTGTCTCCTGACAGGCTGCTCTTGTAGCCGGGGCCCCACTGGTCAGCCGTGTGGCATGGCCAGGTCCACTGGCTTCAGCTTCTCTGAGCCTGGTGTCTGTGCGGCGGTGGGAGCAGTGGCTTTAGGCTTCCCGGTGCCTGGCTTCAGGAGCGTGCCCGTGTTGGTGGGGGCAGTGGTTTCAACTTGGTGGCCAGCATTCCTATCCCCCACACGGGCCTCTTGAGGCACTGGCAGCTTCCTGCAGGTGGCCAGACCTCATCCCTGCTTCTCCCCTTCCCGGGTCCCTTCCACCAGGCTTGGCCGAGTTGGCTGCGAGAAAGTACAAGCAGGCCGCCAAGTGCTTCCTGCTGGCGTCGTTCGATCACTGCGACTTCCCTGAGGTGAGGGTCCTGGGGTCTCTGGGAGGAGCCCTCCTGGGGACTTGGCGATACAGTGAGGGCTCGTGCTTTGGGCTCTCTAATGGGGGGGTCTCCACCAACGGGCTCCTCGGCATTCTCTGAACCAGCGATGACGGGGCTGCGGCGGCCCCTCCCTGAGGTTGCGGTCTGTCGTGACCTCCGTGACGCTGGGTCTCTGGTTCTCAGCTGCTGTCCCCCAGCAACGTGGCCGTCTATGGCGGCCTCTGTGCCTTGGCTACCTTTGACCGGCAGGAGCTGCAGCGCAATGTTATTTCCAGCAGGTCAGTGGGTGGACACTGGCCCCATTCCTCTGTGGGCCCCTCATCTGGCCTTGCTTGTTGCCGGACCCCAGCCCTGCTGTTTCCAGGTGTTTGCCTGGGGACTAGTGTCCTGTGGGTCACTTGGAGGGTGGGGGCAGGCAGGGGCCTGGGCTCAGAGGAATCTGGCATCAGCAGCTCTTTCAAGCTGTTCCTGGAGCTGGAGCCACAGGTTCGAGACATCATCTTCAAATTCTACGAGTCCAAGTACGCCTCCTGTCTGAAGATGCTGGACGAGATGAAGGTGGGTCCTGGCCACCCATGGGGGCGAGTGCGGGGCCTGGCCACCTGGAGCCTGGCGGGTCTCCTGCTCTGCGGGCCAGGGCAGCAGCAGCCGGTCCCTGACACGTCCTCCTCTTCAGGACAACCTGCTCTTGGACATGTACCTGGCTCCTCACGTCAGGACCCTGTACACTCAGATCCGCAACCGTGCCCTCATCCAGGTAAGCCTGGGGAAGCGGGGGACAGGCTGGGACACTTGACATGTGCCTGGGAGGTGCGGGCAGCTGACACCAACGCCCCTGTGCCCCAGTATTTCAGTCCCTACGTGTCGGCAGACATGCACAAGATGGCAGCAGCCTTCAACACCACAGTGGCAGCCCTGGAGGACGAGCTGACGCAGCTCATCCTGGAGGGGCTCATCAATGCCCGCGTGGACTCGCACAGCAAGGTGGCCACATGCTTTGGGGGCGCCTGGGGTGGTGTCCGGCACCTCGCCGGGCCTCACTGAGCCTGTGCCTGTGCAGATCCTGTACGCCCGGGACGTGGACCAGCGCAGCACCACGTTCGAGAAGTCCCTGCTGATGGGCAAGGAGTTCCAGCGCCGCGCCAAGGCCATGATGCTGAGGGCGGCTGTGCTGCGCAACCAGATCCACGTCAAGGTGAGTGGCCCGGTGGGCGCTGGGGCGCAGGCTCCACCTGTGTAGTGGGTGGGCTGAGAGCCTCCCTGTCTCCCCACAGTCCCCGCCTAGAGAAGGGAGCCAGGGGGAGCTGACTCCAGCCAACAGCCAGTCCCGGATGAGCACCAACATGTGAGGGCTGCCGGCCTCCAGGACAGCCTGCGCCCCCGCCGCCCCTCGGACATGGCCCCTGGGGCTTCCTGCCTGCAACCTCCGGTGGTGCCCTGTGCCCGGGGCCGGGGAGGCTGGCGGGCTGCCAGCCGTGGCCCTTCCTGGGAGGGGCCTGCAGGGCTCAACCCTGTGGTTTCCACCCCCACGGCCCTGACTGCAGCGCCCAGACCCTCCCACCTGTGGGTTGTTTGGCGCAGATGAGTTGACTAGTTAATTAAAGAGCAGGTTGAGCGTTGCCCTTGGCTGTTCTCCTCCCCACTCAGTTGCCTTTGGTTTCTAAGGTTTGTCTCCCTGGGTCGGGCTTTGGGCCAGGGCCTGGGGAGAGAAACTAGGGTGGCCTAGTCCTCGGGCTCCACTGTGTGCCCCAGCCTGGGCCGTGCTCCCAGGGCTGTCCTGCTCCCAGGAGGCTCTGGCTGCCTGTCCTGCAGGGAAGGTGGGAGGGGACGTGAGTCCCAGCTTTCCCCCGTGTGCCTCATGTGCTGCCTCCATGTAAAGATGGGCCCCACCACACCCTCCTAGCTGCCTGAGAGAGCAGCCCCTCGGCTCAGGGTCTGCGGGCGGGGCGGTGGTCATGGGCCGTTGGCTCTCTGTGCACCTTTGAAATGATTTATTGTTCACGTTTTGAGAACACAAGTTTTGAGAACACAAAGTCGTGAGGACAGGGCAGGTCTAGCCTGAGGCCTGCTCCCAGCTGCAGCATTTCCAGGCCCCAGCACAGGCTGAGGGGAGGACATCGGCATGTCCTTCCACGTTAAATAGCAGGAGATTCCCTGAGAAAAAGGCGTTTCCTTAAGCAGGACGTGTCCAGGCTCCAGCAGCAGTTCCGGGTGGGGGCAGGTCCTGCTGGCCCTCAGGCCAGGGCACTGCCCGTGACTTCAGAGAAGCCACCTGGTGGTGCCCCAGGCCCAGGCTGCTGAGGCTCCTGCAGGCCAAGCTGGGCCCCTTTGCAGGCCAGAGACTTCTCCAATTTGGTTTTAAAAAGCAATCCGTGACCTGGCAGAGGGGGCGAGAGGGGACGTGGGAGTCAGAAAGCCAAGGGTCTCGCTGCCTGCGGGGGTGCAGGGGGAGGAGGGGCTGGTGGCAGCAGGTGTCCCCTCACCTGGGCAATCCGCGGTCTCTTTAAAGGCCCGCTTCTTACAGCAGCCGCGGCACAGATTGAACACACACCTGTTGCCCTGGGCACAGGAAAGCCAGTGAGCCTGCAGCTGACACCGCCCCCCCCCCCCCCCCAGGGCCAGGCTAGGCAGGACAGCACGGGGAGTGGGGGGCCCTGGCCAGCTGGAAACCTGCCACAGTCCCCCAGCTTGGACACGGGCGCGCCCAGCCCAGCTCTGGCTGCGTCCAGGCTGTGAGTGCGCAGCTGGGCAGGCAGCAGACTGCAGAGTGGGTACTCGCCGCCCCGAGCAGTCTGGGGACCCCTTGCCTACCCCGGGGAGCTGAGGCCTGGGCAGCACACAGCCAGAACCAACTCACTTTTGGGTTTCCACATTGGTCACACTTGGCATATTTTGCTAGGAGGAAAAAAACAGAGGGTGCTGGTTGGATGAAGAGAGCGTGAGGTGGGCTAAGGCGGCCTGTTGGCCGCCATGTAGCCCGCTGATGGCGTCCCTGCCAGCTGGGGCCAGCAGACACAGGCTTTAACCCCAGGGCAAGGGATGTCCTGTGGGAAGTGAATGGGAAGCAGGTGGGCTGGGGACCCCAGCAGGAAGAGCGGCCTCTTTGCACCCCCACAGTCAGGGATGAGGGGTACAGCTGGCCCACCTGCAGGACCCCAAGGGCTCCTAAGCAGAAGGGCAAAGTGGGGCCCTTGATCAAAGCTCCGCCTCCCACCTGTCCAGCTGCCTGCTGACCATAGCCCGGGCAGGGGCGGCTGACAGCAGTTAGACGCCGCGGCCCCTCAGCAACCCACCAGCCCCTGGGGGGCACGTGGGACGGTCTCTGGGTTCTTCCTGCTGGTCTGTTCCTGGGAGGCTCCCACAGGCAGGGGCCTGGGAGTCAGCCAGGCCTGAGAGCCCAGCTGGGCCGACCCAGGACGCAGAGGGGGACCAGGGGTCTCAGCACTGAGGCCTCTAGCCCGTCACGTGAAGCTGTGTCCAAGAAGTCTAACATGTTTCTGGTCTCACAAAGGGGACACGTGGCCTCATCCTGTCTAATCCAACCTCCTTCCTGCTGGTGCCTCTGCCCAAAGGCGCAGCTTCTGGCCCAGCAGTGTGACTCTGCACACTCGCCTGGGGCCTCTTGGCCTCCTGCTCGGGCCACCACACACGGCTGGGGCACACCCCGGGCTCTGCTAGGCAAGGTCAGCTTCAGTGACCCAAGGCCCTGATGTGCAGAGAAGCCCCTCAGATGGCACCTGGCTGTGGGGCTCGTCCACAGCCTCGTCTGGCTGGCTGTGAGCTGATGTCCCCGCGTGCACCATGCGCTGTGGTGCAGGAAGATTAGTGGCCTTGCTCAGGGCCCCTGTGCTCAGACCTGGAGTCTGGCCTGACCACACTGCCCAGGCCCTGGGGTGGGGCCTTCCACGCGCCTGTCTTTAGCTCGGGGCCATCAGCCCCATTGAGCGAGTCCGGGTTTCTGCCCCCAGCAACGTGAGGACAAAGGCAATGAAGTGACCACCCAGGTTGGCCTCTGCCAGGCCCCTTCCCCAGCCCCAGCAGCGGGAGCGGTGCTTACGCTTCAGAGATGGGTCGAAGGTCTTGTGGGGGTTCCTCAGCTGCTTCTTTTGCTTGTTCTTGGACAGGACTTCCGTGCTGCCCTCCTCCTCCTCCTCCAGGGCCCGCTTACTGCAAGCCCCAGCGTTCCTGCTCCCCTCCCGGGGCCTGAGGGGAAGGCGGTGGGTGGTGCTCAAGGACCCCTGGGAGGTGGCCCAGCCACAGCCAAGCAGGCCAGAGCCCAGCTGAGGGCCCAGGGCAAGGAGAGGCCAGTGGCCGTGGCAGGTGCTGGCACGTGGCTCCCGGACACCTGTGCAGTCCACATGGCAGCCCGCGTGGCTGGCACAAAGGTTGGGCCCCAAGGATGGTGTCCACAGCTTTGAGGCCCAGGGTCGGAGCCACTGAGCTGGTCCAGGCAGGGCTGTGGCCACAGATGGCCTCACCTTGGAGAACCCAGAGGACAAACCTACCCAGGATCAGAGGGGCTTGGAGAAGTTCTCATGGAAGGAAAGATTTAAAATCCATGTGTTGGCCGGGCGCGGTGGCTCACGCCTGTAATCCTAGCACTCTGGGAGGCTGAGGCGGGCGGATCGTTCTGAGCTCAGGAGTTCAAGACCAGCCTGAGCAAGAGCGAGACCCCCGTCTCTACCAAAAAATCAAAAGAAATTAACTGAACAGCTAAAAATATATGTAGAAAAAATTAGCTGGGCATGGTGGCGCGTGCCTCTGGTCCCAGCTACTCGGGAGGCTGAGACAGTAGGATTACTTGAGCCCAGGAGTTTGAGGTTGCTGTGAGCTAGGCTGACGCCACGGCACTCTAGCCCGGGCAACAGAGTGACACTCTGTCTCAAAAAAAAAAAAAAAAACCACACGGACTTGGGGGGGGGGGAACCAAGGGCAACACACGTAACCTAAACATCTGTACCCCCATAATATGCTGAAATAAAAAAAACAAACAAAACAAAAACCATGTGTCCACTGACAGGGAAGGACAGAGCTGAGCCGCCAGGCCAGGCCTTGCGTGGCTGCAGTGGAGCGCTCAGGGAGGCACGTGGCCAGGGACAAACCTGGGCCGCTCGCCCTCGTGCACTCCGGGGGCGGGCTGGGGCTCACCCTGGCCGGACGTAGGGCTGGCAGATCCAGTGGGAGAACGGCAGGTCACTGGTGGGCTTCTCTCCCTGCTGCCTGGACATCTCCGCCTGCCAGAGCCCAAGCCCCCCAGTCAGGGCCTTGAGCCCCCCACCCATGGCCCCGCCTGGCTCCCACCCGCCCCGGCGCCTGCCTGACAGCGCAGCTTCAGCTCCCGGTTCACGGCGGCAACGCCCTCCAGGGTCTTCACTTTGGCCAGCTCCTCTCGAAGCTGCTGGTGCACCTGCAGCCTGAGACAGACGCCCGTCACACGGAGCTGGAGCTGCTCCCGGCTCCCAGTCACCTGAGCCCATGCCAAGTGCAGGGCACACAGGGACACCGTGTCTCTTTCTGCCTGACTTCCCTTCCCTTGGAGACCCGACCGGCAGCAAGCCCTTTTGGTAAAACCTCCAAAATGCCCGTGCTTGGACAGCCCCCCGACCCCCAGGTAGCCTCTGTCTTAGGGTCGGCTCACGTGTGGTGCCATAGCTTGAAGAGGTGGGCCCGGACGTAGGACAGCGGGCAGGGGTGCTGGCGCACCAGGTCCAGGTACTCCTCCGCCAGCTCCCACACAGCAGGGCTCCGGCCCTCGAACAGGGCGGGGTTGTGCAGGTTGCCCTCTGCATGAGAGGAGGGGAGGGACGCCTCGTGGGGCTGCTTCCAGGGGACAGCAGACGAAAGCCCGTGACACCCAGGACACTCGCCCGTGCCTCTTGTGCCGAGAACAAGGCTGGCCACCTGGCTCACTGGCTGGCCCATATGGAAAGCCTGGCCCGAGGGCTCAGCTGACAGGACCCACGAAGACCGTCTGTGAGCGCTGCAGTGAGGACAGTGGCAGCAGTGGCCGCTGACCTGGGTGGTAGCAGCAAGATGTGCACAGGGCGCCCTGCTGCAGTTCCCAGCCCCGCGCACCTGCACCCACAGCCCCCTGCACGCCCATGTCCCCAGCCCCGCGCACCTGCACCCACGGCCCCCTGCACGCCCGTGTCCCCAGCCCCGCGCACCTGCACCCACGGCCCCCTGCACGCCCGTGTCCCCAGCCCCGCGCACCTGCACTCATCACCCCCTGCACGCCCGTGTCCCGCAGGCACCGCTCCACATCCTGCAGACACTGGATGTTCCCGTTGGCAAACACAGGGATGGCCACAGCCTTCCTGTCGGGGGAAAATACCTGCCCTATCATCGCAGCCAGGACAGGGCCCAGGCCCGGGACACCCCAAAGTGCACCGTGGCAGGTGCTTCCCCTCCCACCGCACGCTGCCCCCCAGGTGTACAGTGCTGGGCGCTCTGAGGTGCGGAGCTGTGTCCACTCACCGCACGGCCTTGATGTGTTCCCAGGATGCTGCGCCCGACAGGGGCCCCCTCTGCTCCTTTGTGCGTCCGTGCACGGTCAGCAACTAGGACGGACCAGCGGCCGGCTCAACCACGCTCCTGGCCAGAGCCCCTGGCCGACTCCAGAGGACCCTCTCCCTCGGTTTCTCAATCCTCCAGCAAGGCAAAGGCCATCCTAGGCATGGCCTGGTCCCTGCCCCCACTGGGTCCTGGCCCCACAGGCCGCACGTGTGCCCAGCTGATGCCCTGGCTCCCCTAGGAGGAGCCCCCAGGCCGGGAAGCAGCAGTGTCCCCACTGCCCAAGGCCAACGGTGCAGGAGAGATCAGCTCCAGGCTGACCCCAGGCTGGTGGGGTGTCGGGGCCGGTGGAACCTTACCTTCAGGTCACTAGATTCCTGTCCATCCCCAGAAGGTAAGTGTCTTGAGATGTGCACCTGGGGACAGGGCCCACTCCAGGCCTTCACTGGCCAAGCTGAATGTGCAGAGGGCCAGTGCTGTCAACAGCCCTCTGGGGGGTTGGATATTGGGCTCTCCTAAAGGAGGCCCTGGCCAACCTCTGGGCACTAGGATGGCAATGACACCAACGTTGCTCTCTCCACAGGGACAAAGCCTGCAGCCAGCACAGCACTTCCTGTTACAGAAGACTGAGCGTGGGGTGCCAGTGCGCAGAGCCAGTGGGTTCTCACAGAGACCAGGGCACGTCTCATCCGAGTGGGCAGAGGGAGAGACTTGGCTGCCTCCTCCACACAAGGGCCCAGGGAGGATGAACAGCAGGCGCCCAGGACAGGGAGCGCAAGGGTGGGAGCCCCCTTCCCCACTGACACCCCATCAAGGCAGGCCAGCGCTGCCCGCTCAGACGCCCCCGCGAGTCCGGGACTCACCTGGCAGCCGGCCTTCTCCAACATCTGGGCGTACCGCACCGTCTTCTCAATCTCTGGGAAGACACGGATTTTGCACGTGACAGGAACAGAGAGCTTCTCATGGGCCAGCAGAACTGGGGAGAAGAGGGACCACTTGTGAGGGAACCGTGGCACTCCCTCTTCGGCGGAGCCAAGGCAGCTTTGCTGGGAGGCAGCTCCGGCTGACACTCACAGGCTGCTGGACGGGTCCCCTCTGCCTTCCCTCTGTCCTCGCGAGTTCACATAACAAGTGGGGCCAACGCCAGCTCCCACATGATGGCAGCTGAGACCCAGCTCTGTCCCCCAGGGTGTTAGGAGGCTGGGACGAAGCAAGAACACAGCCCCAGAACCGACTGTCTGCTTCTAAGTGACAGCTGGTGCAGTGCAGGTGACTTCACAGTCCCCTCCTTGCAGCAGGGAGAGTGCTGTGGCCCGGAGTTCCCAGGGTGATCCCAAGACACTCTGCCAGCTCCTGTCTTCTCCTGAGCCCCAACTGGGTGGCCAGCGCCCCCACACCCCACGCGGCTATCTCTGGGGCTTCTCCACTGTCCGTGGGGCGGCACAAGCCAACTCACTCATTCTTTGGAGCAGGTCCCACTCTTCCTGCAGGAAGGCACCATAGTGACCTGCAAAGGACAGGTGTGGCCTGCTGGTACCACCGGTGTTGAGGCCAGGCAGGGCCAAAGCTGCCTCTGCACCCTCCTCCCGCGCGGGCCACTGTCTCTCCTGCAGCCGCGCAGGCCCTGAGACACCCTGCCAGCCAGCCCCCGCGGGGACCCCAGAAGCAGCAGTATCTCAGGCAGGCGCAGGGTGACAACGCCCGAGTTGGGCAGTTTGTTGGCATCCGACTTCGGGGCTCTTTGCCCAGCTGCCCAACCTCAAAGGGCGAGGAATGAGATATCTATCCCACTTGGTTTGGGATCAACCAGGACCTCCTCAGGGGCCCAGTGAGGAAGACAGGCAGGGGTGACAGGGAAACATGTCAGTAAATCATAATTTTTTTTTTTTTTTTGAGACAGAGTCTCACTCTGTTGCCCGGGCTAGAGTGACGCCGTGGCATCATCCTAGCTCACAGCAACCTCAAACTTCTGGGCTCAAGCGATCCTCCTGCCTCAGCCTCCCGAGTAGCTGGGACTACAGGCATGCGCCACCATGACCGGCTAGTTTTTTTCTATATATTTTTAGTTGTCCGATTAATTTCTTTCTATTTTTAGTAGAGACGGGGTCTCGCTCTTGCTCAGGCTGGTTTCAAACTCCTGAGCTCAAACAATCCGCCCGCCTTGGCCTCCCAGAGAGCTAGGATTACAGGCGTGAGCCACCGCGCCCGGCCTAGCAAATCATATTTATCCAGAAGGAAGTCCCTGAGAGGAGTGACAGCCCACAGAGCAAGGGCTCAGTCCCACCCGGGGTCACACTGCGCTGGCCCTGGACCCTGCACCTGGGGTGTCCATGGGTTCCAGGCCTAGGGAGGTGCTCAACACGGGACCCTGGAGCTGAACTTGCCTCTCTTGGCTATCATCTGCGGGCAGCCCAAGTTCAGGTCGATGGCGTCGCAGTGATCCTGCGCCAGGAGAGCCGCCTGGACAAACACCTCTGGGTCATTGGCACAGAACTGGAGAAGACACGTAAGTCACCCACGAGCCCAGCCAGGCCCTAGTACCTTGCTGCTCAGCCCCACGAGGGGTTCCAGAGTGACCTGATCAGGGCGTGGTCCTGGGGTTCCCTGCAGGATGGTGTCCTGCTCTACCAGCGTTCACAAGGTGACAGAGCTAGGCTGAGTCCCCAGACCACAGAGAGTAAGGTACAAATTTATGGGATTTCTTTTGATCTGTAACAGAAGCCACTATCATTGACTTCTCCTGAAGAGCAAAGCCATCTTTCCATCACTCTGAAGAGGGAGGGAGGCAGCCCTCAGGGTGACATCAAGGGGCTCAAATCTCACATCCCCACACTGTCTGGACCGGCTCCCGGGGAAGGGAGTCGACTTCTGGGAGGTGCACTTGGCTCCGCCTTGCGTCAATCCCCACACCTGGCACCCCCTCCACCCCCCTGCCCTGGAATTGGGAAGCTGTTTCTGGAAAGACTGAGGGTGGAATCCTCATGCAGAGTGAAGACTGCTTCGCAAGCGTTCCAGGGGCCAAGACCCCCTGCCCACCTGCACAATGAGGGGCCGGTCCTCAGGGCACACTTCGCAGTATAGGTTTTCCTTCCGGTAGTTGGCATCGCGGACGAAGACCTGGGCGTGCAGCATGGGGGTGTAGCACAGCTGCGCCCCGTGGCGGCGGCTCAGCAGCCTCCAGGCCAGCTCGCTTTGGTCCACCATGGGGGCCACCACGTGGCGGGCCCCCCCCAGGGTGCGGCTCCAGAACTCGAAGCCCTGCAGCTTTGCCATCGTCTCCGCAATGACACAGGGAGGAAGACCGGGGGCGCGGCCGGGCCGTGCAGAGCACAATGTCCGGAACCAAACCCCGAGAGGGCTAAGATTCAACTTGGAGGAAGTGGTTACTGTCAAGGCCACTCCTGTGCCAGCTGGTGGAACTGCTGTCGGGTCACACACATGGGCACTGCAGGTGTCAGTCGGCACAGGCTTGAGAAGGGACACCCCAGTGCTGCCACCTTCTCGTGGAGACCTTGGTCAAGTCACTGGGCCTCTGGGCCTAGACCCCTCGTTTGTCAGCGGGATTAAATGTTCGCCTGGGGGGACGGGTGTGAAGAGAAGATGAAATGGTGAAGCCAGCACCCTAGTCACACGATGAAGTCACAACCCACCAGGCCCGGACGTCGGCAACAGGCCTGGCCTCCCCGCCGGCCACCACCCCTCTGGGGTGTCGGGTCTCCCCTTGAGGCTGTCACAGTCCCAGACGACACTGTGAGGATGTGCCACTGTGACCCTACTTCCTTGTAAAAAACAATCCTTTCCCCCTAGTAAGGGCGAGAAAGAACAGAGACTCTGCTCCGCTTTCACCTCTTCGTGCCCGGCGGGTCACCTGGGTGGAACCGCCCTCCCCTTACCGGCGACTCACGCCACTTAGCACCGCGGGCGCGGGCTGAGGACACGCGCTAGGCAGCCGCACGGCCGCGCCCCCCCCCAACTACTGAGCACGCTCGGGTCCGGAACCGGCCGGGGCCCAGCCCTTGGCTCGGCATTTTCAGCGACTGTGAAATTACACAAAAATGACCGGAGTCACCAGCATCCTTACCTGAGAGGGTCCCCGCATGTCCGCCGCCGCGCGTGGCACTGGCTCGGGTGGGGCCGGCTGGGTCCGGGGCGCTGGGCCCCGCCGCCCCCGCGTCCGCCGCGCCGCCCTCCCCGGCCCGGTCCCGTCCCCGCTCGGGCCGCTGCAAACGCCGCCGCAGCGCGCCGAGGCCGCCGCCGGGCCCAGCGCTCCGCGCTGTCGCCGGAAGGGCCGCTGCCTGGGCCGTCCGGGCGGTCCGCGGTACGGCGGGAAACGCGTCCCCCGGAAACCGCGCCCGGCGCCGAAGGGCCGGTGTCAGAGGGGCCGCCCGCGGGGTCGGAGGTCAGAGGCCGAGGTCAGCCCCGTCAGGCCTGGGTCTCGGGAGGCCAGAACCGTCGCTTAAAACGAGGGGCAGGTGGTATGGAAATCAGGCCTCGTTAAGGGGTGAAAAAAGCCCCCGGTGGAGGGGGGCTGAGGTGGGAGGATCACTTGAGCCCAGGAGTTCAAGGCTGCAGTGAGCTGGGATTGTGCCGCTGCCCCAGCCTGGGCGGCAGAGCAAGCCCACATCTGCGGAAAAACAAATAAATAAAAGAACTAAAAGAAACCATGTCTAAAGAAGTTTTTTTTTTTTATTTTAAATTTTTTTCACTTTTCTTTTTGAAATAAAATTTTATTTTCTTTCTATTTTTAGTAGAGACGGGGTCTCGCTTTTGCTCAGGCTGGTCTCGAACTCCTGACCTTGAGCGATCCGCCCGCCTCGGCCTCCCAGAGTGCTAGGATTACAGGCGTGAGCCACCGCGCCCGGCCTAAAGAAATTTTTAAAAGTATAATGACAATGACTCATTAAACAGAGGTTATCAATAAAAAGAAATGATTAAAAAGAGCTAAATGGAAATTCTAGAGTTAAAAAATACAATAACTAAAATGAAAAATTCACTGGAGGGGACGGACAGCAGATACCTCCTTTGTCTCCTCTCCTGTGGCGGACACGCTGGTCTGCTTGATGGCGTCTCACCAGCACCTCCGGCTCTGCGCACTTTTCTTCATTCCTTTTTCTTTCTGTTCCCCAGGTTGGATAATTTCAACTGTCTGATCTTCAAGTTCACTGATCCTTTCTTCTGCTTGTTCAAATCTGCTCCTGAGGGCCAGGCACAGTGGTGGCGCCTGTAGTCCCAGCTGCTCGGGAGGCTGAGGTGGGAGGATCGCGCGAGCCCAGGAGCTCGGCTGCAGGGAGCTGTGATGACGCCACAGCACTCAGCTGGGTGACAGAGTGAGACCCTGTCTCAAAAACCAACCAATCAACCAAACAAACAAACAAAAAACCCAAACCCAAACGGGGTGGGGAAAAGATGTTCCTGCTCATTAAATCTTCTGATCGATGTCACGTCACGGAGGGGAGAGGGGACAGATAGATACAGTCTGAGGAGGCCAAAACCAAGTGCCAGCTGGCACTGGTCCCTCAGGGAATCTCTGGACCAACCAAAGTGCACAGCCCCAAAGTTTCGGGGCACAAGGTCTGCACTGCCTGCCGCAGCAGCTGCCAGCTGCCCCAGGAATGCAGGCCACTGTCCCCCCGGTCCGTGGGGCTGAGGAAGGGGCGGTGGCTGGTTTGCTTACACTGCTTTCCCACCAGACAGCAGCCCCTCGCCCTTCCGCGAGCCCCCCATGCCTGTCGCGAGTGTCCAGTCGGGTCCCGGAGCCCCGGGGAGTCGGTTCCAATCTGTTCTCGCTCAGCGGTTGCTCGGGTGAGGGACCAATCCCGGAGCTGCCTACTCCACCGTTTTGCGCCAAGTTGCCTTTACGGTTGTGCGTATCTCTTTGTACAGTTTCGCTAGCGGCTGCTCTAGGCATCACCTTGTGCAGACATCACGACCACAGTCTACTGGTGTCACCTGCCAGCTCCAGTACAGTGTACAAAACTTTCCTTTCTTATAGCTCCCTATCCCATATATATCCCATTTATATTATAATCATCTTAAATATTTCCTCTACCTACATTTAGAATCACATCATGTAGTGTTATAACTTTTATTTGAATTGTTTAGCATAAATTAGAAAACTCTAGAAAAGGAAAACATTGTATTTACCCATATCTTTTCCTTTTCCATTTTCTTTCTTCCTAATGTTTCAAAATTCTTTTTATCTTTTCCTTTTTATTTAGAAAATTTACTTTAGTCATTCTTTTAGGGTAGGTCTGCTGGGAACAAACCATCTTCATGTGAGAATGTCTTGATTTCCTCTTCCATCCTGAAAGGTGTTTTTGCCGGCTGTAAGTTTCCGGGTTGCCCGTTCTTGTCACCCACACTAGCCGGCTGTGGCGCCCGTTGCTCCTGGCCTCCGCAGTGCGGACAGGAAGCCTCCTGCCGTCTGGACGGTCCTTCCCCTGTAGATAAGGTGTCGCGTTTCTCTCGCTGCTTCTGAGATTTTCCCCTTTGTTTTCAGTTTTCAGGACATGTCTGTGGTGCGTGGAGAGGATGCTTTTGCGGTTTTCCTGTTTGGGCTTCAGTCGGCTTCTCAAATCTGCAGGTTTATGTCTTTTGCCAAATTGGGATTCGAAAGCCGCGTTTCTGTGAGTGCTCCTTCAGCCCCGCCCCCTCTTTCCTACCGGAACCGGGCGACAGAGACGCTCGACTTTTTGCTGTAGCATGTCGGGCGCTGGGCACTGCAGATTGGGCAACTTCTGTCCGTTTCATGAATTATTTCCTCTGTCCTTTCTATTCCTCTATTAAGTCCTCATTTTTTAAAATTTCAGTTGTTGTATTTTTCATTTTTAAAAGTTGCATTTAGGTCTTCTTTGCACCTTCTATTTCTTTGCTGAGACTTTCTATTTTTTCATTTGTTTCAAATGTGTTCATAATCGACATCTGCTTTGAACCTTTGTCAGAGAATTCTCACGTTCTGGCATCTTGGTGTTGGCACCGATTTTCCTTTTTTCATTGAAATAAAGAATGACGCTTGGTATGGCGAGTGATTTTTGAGCGAAACCTGAACATTTGTGCTATTAGGTTACGAGAGTTCGGATCATACTTAAACCTCCTGTTTTATTTATTTATTTATTTATTTTTGAGACAGAGTCCCACTCTGTCACCCCGGCTAGAGTGCCGTGGCGTCAGCCTTGCTCATAGCAACCTCAGACTCCTGGGCTAAAGCGATCCTCCTGCCTCGGCCTCCAGAGTAGCTGGGGCTGCAGGCGCCACCATGCCCAGCCTAAACCTTCTGTTTTAACTGGTCTCTTGCCACCGCCGGGGTGGGTGATAGTCCTTGTTCCCGCTCGGCCATGGGCACTAGGGGTGGGAAGGGTGTGTCATTGCTGCTGAGCAGGAGCAGGAGTTCTGGTTCCTTCTAGCGTTCGTTTAGCGCCCTGCCTGGAGGGGTCAGTGCTTTGTACTGCGGGGTCTGGGGGTCACTACAGCCCCTCAGATGGGAACAGGGCTCCCTCTGGGCGGGGGCGCAGAGTCTGCTGTGGTCACTGTCTACACACTTTCTGTCCTGTGAGGCTGCCCCTTTCCTGGTTCTCTGGCCAAAGAGAGGGCTTTTCTTGGGGCTCCTGTGGCCTGTGTCGGCGGTTCCAGGCTGCTGGCTTCTTCGGCTCCAAGTCTTGGATATTTGAGGCAAAAAGAAAACTCAGGTGCTCTCCCCCAGGCTGCTCTTGGTCCTGCGTTGCTGGTGGCCTGGTTCGTGTTTTCTACTCCAAGTGTCCCTATGTTTGGCGTGTGTGTGCGTGTGTGTGTGTGTAAAGCGTCCACGTGTCGAGTTGTAATGACTTTAACAGTTTGAGGAACAGGGAAAATATGACGCACAAGCAGAAATCTGACAGCTTCTCAGATTTCCTCCTCGCTGGTTTTTGACCAATTTGATTTGGATGTGCCTTGGTGTCATTTTAGGTTTCTTGTCCTTGGAGTTGATTGAGTTTCCTGGCTCTGCAAGTTTATAGTTTGCAGTAAGTTTGGAAATTTCATGACCATTATTTCTTCAAATGTTTGTGCTTCTCACCCTGCCCTTTTCTTTAGGGACGATGGTGACACATGCACCAGACGGCTCGGTGTCACCTGCCTCTCCCTGATCCCCTGTCCGTTCCCTCCGCGGCGTCCAGTCTGGGTTATTCCCACTGCTGTCCCTTTAAGGACAAAGGTTTTAAAGCAACCACCAGTCTTTTCCTCTGTGATGTCTAATCTGACATTAATCTTAGGCAATAAAATTTTTCACTTCACACGTTGCAGTTTTTATCTCTGTAAGTTTCATTTATATTCTTTTTTGCATCATACAAATTTCTACCAATCTTTTTGAACACCTGGAATAGTTATACTATTTTAATGTCCTTGGCAGCTAATTCTAACATCTGTGCCAGGTCTGGGTCAATTTCAATTGATTTTTCTCTCCCTATGAGACCTATTTCTGCTGCATTGTACGTCTGCTAATTTTTCACCAGTTGCCAGGGATTGTGAATTTTACCTAAATATTCTTGAGTTTTGTTCTGGGATAGAGTAAGTTTACCTGGAAGAGATTTGATCCTTTGGGGTCTTTTTTTTTTGAGACAGATTGTTGCTCTGTCACCAGGCTAGACTGCTGCAGCCTAGCTCTCAGCAGCCTCAAGCTCTTGGGCTCAAGCGATCCTCCTACCTCAGCCTCCCAAGTAGCTGGGACTACAGGCATGCGCCACCACGCCCGGCTAATTTTTCTACTTTTAGTAGAGATCGGAGTGTGGTGGTGGTGGTGGGGGGGTCTCACTGTTGCTCAGGCTGGTCTCGAACTCCTGAACTCAAGTGATCCTCCCACCTCCCAGGGTGCTGGGATTACAGGTGTGAGCCACCGCGACCGGCCATGGGGTCTTGTTTTTAATAATTTTTTTCAGGTGGGACCAGTGCTAACTAGAACTAGTTAGCTAATCAATCTTGGGCTAATTCTTCCCCACCCTTCTGAGAACTCTACTCGACGCCCTGTGAACTATGAGGCTCTCCGGCAGCTGGCGAGGACAGGCTATTTCCAGCCCTGCGTGAGCACCTGGTACTGCTCACTCTGTGCGTTCTGGGTGGTTCTTTCCCCAGACTCAGCTGGTTTCCTCACATGCGCATGTCGGTGAGCACACAGGGCTGGAGGGGCCTCGCCTGCAGTCTCGCTGGACTCTCAGCTCTGCCCCTTCCCACAAGGCTACACCCCCCCCCCCATGCCCGCCTGGAACAGTTCTCCAGGCAGAAGACTGGGGCAGTCAATCCAGGCTCACCTCCTCACTCCCCCGCTGGGACCACTGCCTTCCCTGCTGTCCAGCATCCTAGCAACCACCGTTTCGTGTATTTTGCCTGTTTTTATGGTAAATCCAGGCTGTTACTCTCCGGTCAGAGCTCTAACTCATCATGTTAATTTTCATTTTGATTTGGAAGAAAGTAACTGAAAGGAGCGGCGATAACCGCTTAACTTCAGACACTTCTTCACAGCAGAGAGCTGCTTCCCCTAAGAGCCCCCTCAGGTTGATTTGTGACCTGCAGAGCACGTCTGTTCTCTGAGCCCTCATGGCGCGCGGTGACCGCTGCTCCTGGCAGAGAGCCGTCCCACGCTAGCAGGAACTGCAGATGCCTGGACGCAGGATCCAGGCATCAACGGGCCAGGAGAACCCCGCGTGCCGGGTGTGGCCCACTGCCCTGCAGCGCCCCGCGGCCAGGGATGAAGCAGAGCCAGGTGCTGAGCCCAGACCGGTGGCCTGGAGAACAGCTCAGACTTAACTCCCACCTGCTTGTGGGGCCCTGGGGGATGCTGGGACCCTCCATGGTGACCCTGAGCGTGCTTAGCGGGACGGAGAGGCCAGAACGGGCTGTGGCTGAAGGGTGCATCTTCCCAGCGTGGGCAGGGCCATGGGAGGCGAGGACTTGCCTCGCCTTGCTTGGCTGCCTGTCTAGCTCCACCTGGGCCCCATCCTACCTCACCCCTGCACCCTGGCCTGCCTCTCCCCCTCCCCCCAACCAGGGCTGCCTCAGTTCCCACCCACCTTTGTGCCCCTATACTGGCGCAGGGCCAGCTGTTTCTGGGCGGGCGTCCTTCTAGAACCCCAGGGGCTGGCCTGCTCTGCTGCTCCCCTGAATTCCACCCTGACCCCTGCCACCATCCCAGGCCTCCAGCCCCTGCAGGGCTGAGCTCGGCCTCACCCCCCACCCCCAGTCAGCCCAGACCCCAGGGTTGCCAGGGCTGCTTCCCCCTCTTGACTCCAGGCTCCAGGTCTCAGAGGTCTCCTTGCCCCTCCAGACTCCCCTCCTCTGCCTAACTCCAGAGCCAGGCAGCCTGCGCAGTCTGCTCCAGCGTGGCCAGCGACCAAGCGTCCGGCGCGGTGGGCGGGGCTAACATCCACAACCAGAAGACTGTTCTCCGCTGGGGCTGGGCCTCGTCCAACCAGCCGAAGCCCCCAAGACAAAACTGAGTGATTCTGCTAACTATGGTGTTCATGACTGATCGATCACAAGTAGTAACAGATTCCTTTGTTCCTTCTCCATCCCCACTGCTTCACTGACTAGCCTTAAAAAAAAAAATTCTTCCAACACGGCAGTGTCAGCTCAGGCCGAGTCTCCAGGCCCCGTGGGCTTCCCACTTGCCAGCCCACAGCGGCGGGGCGGCTTCCCGACGTGTGCCACACACCGCCCTGTCCCTCCCTCCCGACTGTGCCTGGGCAGGGCCGCGGCCAGCTCTGGGCTGTGTCCTTAGTGTGCCGACCCCCTGGCCCACGCCCTGCAGCTGTGTACACTCTGGCACGTGGGAGCTATGCCCCAGGTCCCGGAGGGCAGAGGGCGTCCCCGTGACCCAGTGGGCTGGAGCTGGAACTTGCGGCGGCTGGTCAGCGGCAGGAAAGAAAGATGCCACGAAGCCAGAGCTCACGTGCGGTTTAATTGTGGGGCTTGGGGACGAGACATCTGGAGCAGCAGTTTTACCAAACTGGTATAAAACGAACAGGGTCAGACACGGGCCTCTGCACTGACGTTACAGTGAATTCAGACTCTGAGCAGCAGTCGGAACTGTGTCCAACACAGACACAGACGTCACGGAGCAGGTGCCCGGTGCGGTCCGCAGGGCCAGGCCTGCTTCATGGGGCAGCCGGGGCACCCAGGCCCGTCCTGTTCCGTGGGGACGGACTGTCCCATGGCCTCCACACAGTGGGCAGGGCCGGCCGAGGAGGCTCAGCCAGCAGGCCTGGGCGGCCACCTGTGTGCACAGGAGGTGCAGAGTGGACGCTGCCCGGGACCTTCATGTGGGCGGCTTCACCAGTGACGCAATAAATATGCGAATTCAAGTGGAAAAACAACAAACCAAGCAAGCGGCAAAGACCACTTGGCACAAAAGGGTCAGCCCGGCTCCTGCGGGCCACGCCGGCTCTTCACAGACGGGCGTCTCCGAGTCGACAGCTCTGGGGTCCCCGCGCCCCGCACGCCTGTGGGAGGTGGCGGGTGGGGAGGATGCAGTGTGACAGCCTACTTCTAGCAGCCGCGGGGGCAGGGTCCCACCGGCAGGACCCTCCTGGCCCATAGCGCGGCCAGGTGAGTGGGCGCAGCGCGGTCTGTGGAGGGGCGGGCCTAGCCCTCCCGCACGCTCACGCGGGGCTCGGCCAGGGAGCTGTGGATGATGCCCACGATGGACTCCAGGCCGCTGCCCTCCAGCAGCGTGCGGTGGTCTCCCTCGATGACGTGCACGGACACCTTCCCGTCGCACACCTGTGGGGTGTGCCCGTGAGCCGGAGGCTGCCCACTCCCGGCGACCGCCCACTCCCGGCGACCGCCCACTCCCGGCGACCGCCACCCTGCCCGCCCCCCGCGCACCTGGGAGAGGTTGTAGTCTGCGCCCAGGTCCTCGCCGTAGGCACCGCCCGTCTTGGCGCGCAGCAGTGTGACGTTGCCGTGGTACTTGGCCTTGGGTGTGTACTGCTCAGCAGCACGCAGCTTGTGGTAGAAGGACAGCGCGGCGAAGCTCAGCTCCTGGCGGTCCAAGCCGTGGTGGCTCTTGGTGATCAGGTCCACGGCAGCTGCCACGCGCTCCTCCAGGCCCTTCAGTGGCAGCAGCGCCTCCAGTACCTGCAGGAGTGGGCTCTGACCAGGCTGGACACCTCCCTGGGGCCCCCTCCCAGCCCTGCCACCCCTTCCCCCGAGCTCTTTGGGCCCCAGAGCGCCCTGGCCTGACCCTGCTGTGCTCGGCGTCCGTGAACTGCTGCACGAAGAAGCAAATGGCCTCCGTCTCAGCCTCGGCCTCGCAGCCTGGCGTCAGCTTGGCACGGTAGCTCTGTGAGGGGAGAGGCTGCTATGCGGGGCTGAGGGTGGCCAGGACCTCCGGGCTGACAGCCACCCAAAGCCGGGAGCAGGTGGGGAGCTGGCCTGGCTCTCACCTGGGTGTAGGCCACCACGTAGGTGTGAGAGCCGTCGAACAGGAAGAGGCTGTTGTGGGCGGGGGCCGGGCTCTGCTGGGCCTGCAGCTGGGAGCACATCTCAAAGGCCACGCAGGCTCCGTAGGAGTAGCCGGCGACGCGGTACGGCCCTTCGGGCTGCACCTGCCTGATGCAGTCGATGTAGTAGGCGGCGAGGCTGTGGATGCTGTCCAGCGGCGCAGCTGCAGAGACAGCACCCAGCGGTTGGGGGCGCGGCTGCAGGCCAGGAAGCGCTCGGGCCCCATGGGCAGCCCGGCCACGGCTGTCTCACCCCGACGAGGCCCCGGGCAGCGGCGTACCTCGGGTGCACTGCAGGCCGTAGGTGGGGATGCTGAGCTTGGCGGCCAAGCTGTGGAACACGGCAGTGGAGCCCTCGATGGGGTGCACCAGGAAGAGGGGCCGCTCGGAGCTCTGCACCGTGTTGAGCCGTGTCAAGGTGGGGGCCTCGGGGTTCACCAGCAGGGCGCTCAGGTTCAGCTGGGCCTGCTGCCGGGCCGGGCTGTCCTTGGGTGTGGGGGTCACCGACTCTGAGGACGCGGGCAGACGTTAGGCCGTGCTGGACTCAGACTCCAGGACACACGGGAGGACACACAGTGCGGGCCCCTGCTGGGACACACCCCGGGGTCCCTGCCCCCCGCCAGGCCGCCTGCGTGTACCGTTGGCTGTGTCACCCGTGGAGGACAGCTCTTGCAGCTTCCGGAGCGTGAGCTGCCGCACCTCGCGCATGGACAGCACCAGGTCGTGCTCGCGCTCCAGGGTCTGGCGCACCTCCACGCTCATGAGCGAGTCCAGCCCCAGGTCTGCCAGCGAGCTGTCCAGGTTTACGCCAGCCAGGTCTCGGATGCCTGGAAGGGAGGCCTTGGTCGGCAAATCGGGAGGGGGCGTGGGGACGGCTCTGGGGGTGCTGAGCCTTGGGCACTGTTGCCATGGTTACGGCCACGGCCCAGCTCTGCAGCCTGCTGTGTGTGACCCTCAGGAGCAAGCTCGTCCCGCTCAGGTGGGCACCCATGGCACACAGAGCTGCGTCTGCGACCTTCCTGGGCCGCCCTCGCTGCCCCCAGACCCCGAGGCCTCAGGCTCACCCAGGATGTGCGCCACGGCCTTCACCAGGTCCTGCTGGCCGTCCCTGTCCCTGTGGGCGGCGGTCTTCTTCTCAGCCAACACGAAGCTGCTCAGGACAGCGTAGGGCTGGTGCAGGAAGAGGTCCAGCACCTCCAGGCAGGAGATGATGCGCTGGGGCAGCGTCCCGCCGATGACCGTGTCGTTGGTGCCCATGGCCTCCAGCACGATGCCCACGTCGCCGACAGCACCCCACTGCACGGCCAGGCCTGCGGGCGAGGGGGCCGGTGGGCTGGGGCCTTGGCGGGTGGGGAAGGTGGGGTGGGCCGGGTGGGGCTGGAGACCCACCTGGGAGGCCGTCGTGCCGGCGCTTCTCGCAGATGCGCTCCATGGAGGAGTTGGCAAAGCCGTAGTTGGTCTGGCCAGCGTTGCCACGACCACAGCTCACCGAGGAGAAGGCCACGAAGTAGTCTAGTTCAGGACATGCCTCTCGGGTCACCCTGTGGGCACCTGTGTCACTGCCTGCCAGCCAGCACCCCGGGAGCCCCGTTTGGACGCGTGGGCTGGGAGAGGCCGTGTGGCGGGGGCTGCGCCCACCTGTCCAGGTTCAGGGTGCCGCTGTACTTGGGCTTGCTGACGTCCTGGAAGGACTCAGGCGTCTGGTTCTCCAGCATGGCGTCTCTCAGCACCTGGGGGGAGGGGTCCTCAGCACCTGCAGGGCTCGGCGGCACCCCCGCCCAGGGGCTACCCCGGGCTCGGGGCTGTGGAAGGCTCTGCCGTGGGGTCCCCCTCACCATCGCCAGGTTGAAGACAGCTCCCACGGGCCCGAGCTGTGTGGCCTCGGCGATGAGGGCCCGGGCCCCCTCCAGCGAGCTGGCGTTGCTGGCGGACACCAGCACCTGCACGCCCTGGCGCCTCCACTCACGGACCTGCTTGGCCTGGTAGCCTGTAGGACATGGGCAGTGGCCAGGCAGGGGGCAGGTGCACAGCCCTCCCCAGACACCAGCTTGGGAGTTGGGGGACCGCACCCAAGCCCCTTCCAATAAGGGGGACAGAGAGGGACAGAGGGAACATGGCCTAGGAGCTGTCAGTGTGCAGAAGGACGGCTGGCGGGAAAGGTTCAGGCAGCAGGAGCAAGTCCCGTCCCTGGCTGGCCCCAGGTTCCCCGGACTGCTCACCTGTCCGGATCCCAGAGCGGGAGGTCAGCACCAGCTTTTGGGCTCCCCGCAGAACCAGCCACTGGGCCAGCTCCAGACCGAAACCACCCAAGCCGCCGGCGATGACGTAACTCTTATGGGCTGCACAGAAGGTCTTGGCGACGGCCGCCATCAGGGTGGGCTCCACCCGCTGCGGTGCTGCCTCTGGCTCCTCTGGTCGCACCTGCACCAAGCGACATCCCCGGCTCAGGCGCTGCGGGAGGGTGGGAGGCGGGCGCCCAGGGTCCCTGCCTCACCTGGATGACGACCTTGCCGATGTGCTTCCCCTGCGCCATGTAGCGGAAAGCGCCCTCCACCTGGGCCTTGGGGAACACGGTGCACTTGAGGGGCTGCACCACGCCGTCGCGGATGCCGGCCCGCAGGAGTGCCGCCACCTCCCGCCAGTCGTCGCTGGCCTCCTCGAAGAGCGCGTCCAGCAGGATGCCGTGGAAGGTCACGTTCTTCAGGAAGATGGCCATGCCCAGCGGGTGGTTGTTGGAGAGGTCGAATTTGCCGATCTCCAGGAAGCGGCCGTGCTGCGCCAAGCACCTCACGCTGGCCTGCAGCTTCTCCTCCGCCAAGGAGTTCAGGACCAGGTCAACTCCTGGGGGACAGAGGGGTCCCCACAGTCACACCCGCTGACCAGCACCCACGGCAGTCCAGCGGGGTGGGGCTGGCCGCACTGCTCACCCCTCCCGCCTGTGTGTCGCAGCACGTGCTGCTCGAACGACGTGTCCCGCGAGTTGGCGAAGCTGCTGCTGTCGAGCTCAGGAAACCTGGCCTGGAGATACGCCCGCTTCTCCGCAGAGCCTGGGGGTGGGGGCGTTGGTGAGTGGGGCTGGGGGCACTGGGGGGCCGGGACTGGGGGGCCAGGGGCACTGCGGGGCTGGGGGCCTCACCCACGGTGGTGAAGACGCGGCAGCCCAGACTGAGGGCGATTGTGATGGCAGCCTGGCCCACGCCGCCCGAGCCTGAGTGGATGAGCACTGTCTCCCCGCGCCGCATGCGCCCACGCACCACCAGCGAATAGTAGGCCGTGGTGTAGACAACGGGCACCGAAGCCGCCTCCTCCAGAGTCCTGGGGGTGGGTCACAAGGTCAACTCGGCCTGGCTGTTTCTGCTGACGCCCCTGGGTGCCCTGGGCCCCATCCGGCTGACACACTCACCAGCTGGAAGGCACGTCCCAGAGGAAGTCCGGGGACAGCTGGACAGATGTGGCCAGGCCCTCGGCGGGCACCAGCCCCATCACGCGCTTGCCGCTGGAGTCTCGGCCCGAGAACTCCATGCCTAGCATGCAGTCCCGCGAAGCCCACTTCCCTGGAAGGAGGTGGTGATGAGCCCAGGGCGGGGCCCTGAGGTGCCAGCCCAGGCCCCCGGGACCCCTGCCAGGTGCCCGGCAGGCTCTGGTGTCGGACTTCACCGGAGAGTGCCTGGCCCTGCCCAGCCCAGGCTGTATGCCCCGTACCTGGGATCGCATCAGGGGACAGCTTGCCCGTGGCCAGCATGACGTCTCGGAAGTTGAGCGAGGCGTAGTAGACCGTGCAGAGCTGGGCGTCGGGGCTGCTGGGCGGGGCGTGGCGCAGCGGGGAGCAGACCCAGCGGATGGAGGAGAGGTCCCCGCGGGTGAGCACGTTCACGAACGCGTGCGCCGTCTGCTCCTCCGGCTTGTCTGCAGAACAGGAAAGGGAGCTGCCCGGGGCCTTCCCGGCCAGGGTCTCCGGTTCCCCCTCCACGCAAGGAGCCTGGGAGGCGGCAGGGTGGTGTTTAGGGGCTCACCCTTCTCCAGTGGGAAGTGGCGGAAGGCCCCCCAGGCCCCATCGCGGTAGATGTTCATCACCAGGTCCCCCTGCAGCACCTTCCGCAGCTCTGCCGAGCCTGGGTCCACCTCGGGGACACGGGATGTGCTGCTCAGGTTGGACAGCAAGATGCACCTGTGGGCGGCCAGAGGCGGTGAGAGGGCCGCACAGGGAGGAGGGGGAGGGGGAGGAGGAGGGGGAGGGGAGGGGCACCTACCGGATCCGGTGTCCGCCGGACTCTTTGCGGAGACAGTTCACCAAGCCCACCACGCCTGAGGTGGTGCAGTTGACGGCCTTCAGCCACACGGGCCGCGGGGAGTCGTCGGCCAGAATGTTCTATGGGACGAGGGGAAGGTCAGATGCTAGGATGGCCTCGGGCTACGTACACCGTGCACGCGCGCCAGGTTAGCGGGTCCCGGGGCCTGGGAGCCCAGGTGGGGGCTGACCTTCAGAGAGTCCACCCATCGGAAGCTAGTGTCCTCCACGGGCAGGAAGATGGGGCTGTCCTGCGTGGCGGGCCGGCGGCACAAGAAGAGCGCAGAGCCGTAGAAGGACTTCTTCAGGCCCACCAGGCGCAGCGACGTCCTCGTGAACAGGCTCTCCCACTCTTCCTGTGTGCAGGTGGCGGTCAGACCCGGCCGGCCTGGCCTTGCCCTGACCCCCGGCACCCCTGCCCAGCAGCGCACCTGGCTCAAGAGGCCCTGCGTGAGCTGTGGCTCAGAGGAGGAGAGAAAGGCCACGGTGTCCCCGAGGGGGTGTCCCCTGAGCAGGGTGTGCAGCAGCAGGAAGCCGCCCTCTCGGACGGCAGCCGCCATGTGGCCGAGGGCTGAGGCTGGGTCCCCGAGGGCAGCCACAGCACAGTTGCACACCAGGAGGTCACTGGTGCCCAGGCTGCTGGGCGCAGGCTCTGCTGGGTCCCACTGCGCCTGGGCGACGTCAAACTGCTGCAGCTTGGGCTGCGCAGCCTCCAGGGCCTGGGGGTGGCGGTCGGTGGCCGTGTAGCTCAGCTGCAGCATCGGCTGGGTGTTGAGCAGGCCCGGGATGCGGGAATACAGGTGTCCGTGGCCGGCCAGCACCTGGTGTGGGGGAACATCTTCTGGGAGCAGCCCGGGGCCAGGGAAGTGTCCTTGACCTGGGGCCAGGCAGATGTCCATAGGGGCACAGTCGCCAGCTGAGCCCACGGATGATGGCACAGATGCCGCCTGCCTGTGCTCTCAGGGGCCTGGTCTGCAGTGACTCTCAGAGCCCCAGGTCCCAGAGCTGCTGTGTGGACACGACCAGCTGGCCCCACATCTGTGCCACCTCCTGGACACCTGACGTGGCGGCGGCCCCCAGTCGTACAGGATGGAACGGACGCAGGCGTGAGGGACGCACGAGACAGCTGCAGGGGCCGCCAGGGCATCTCACTGCCCTGCGGTCTGGTCTGACCTGGCTCTGTCCATGCACGTGGCACAGCCCAGCCGACACCTACCTCGACCACCTTCATCCTGGGGCTGGCCATGTTCTCCAGGGCAGTGTCCACGCAGGCCTTGAGCGCCGGGGCGTCCAGCAGGCCGCAGAGCAGGGGGTCCTCTGGCAACAGGGGCCTCTCCTGGGCCAGCTCCAGCTGTAGGCTCCCGTTGAGCTGCAGCTGACATGCAGCCCACAGTAGCCGCGGCAGCCCCTGCTGGGGGGGTTCCCGGGGGGCTTGGGCCCCCTGCAGCCCTGGCCCTGCCATCTTCAGCCCCTGCTGGGTCACCTTGGCCTGCAGGGCCTGCGCCAACCCTGGGGAGAGAGAGACGGCCTGATGCTGCCTGAGGCCCCAGCAGCAAGACTCTGCTTGAGGTGGGGACTTGGACCCATCTGGCCCTCCTGGGGTGCCACTGGCCCTGTCCTGGGACCCTGACTCCTCCCCAGCATAAGCCCCCCGATGTTCCGTGCCCGTCCCCACCCCCACCCCGAGCCAAGGTCTCCCACACATCAGCCCAGGGTACTGGCCCCAGTGGATTGGTCTGTACTGGGTGGTGGCTGGCGCCACAGCCAGGAGGGAACCACATCTCATTTTTGTCCCCAAATCCCTTTGAGACAGAAACAGTTGATAAGGATGACCACAACGTTGGGGGAGGCAGCTGCTCCAGCTATGGCCAGGATGGAGTCAGGCCAGGGGCGCTGGAGACAGGCCCCTTGGGGAGGCAGGCTGGGGTCTACTTGAAGGAGAACTGAGACGTGTCCGGCAACGGCTGTCTTGGGAAGTGACGAGCTCCCCGTCGCCAGAAGCACCAACGGGCCAGGGAGGGCTGGCGGCTCGCCACAGGGCAGGGCAGGAAGGGCAGGGCGGAGCCTCACCCTTGCACAGCTGCAGCTCCTCCTGCAGGGCGGTGCTCGCGGACAGGCACCCGTCCTCCACGTGAGGCGTGAAGCAGAACTTCTCCACGGTGGGTGCCAGCTGCTCCTGCTGCCGGCGTGGGGCTGCCGAGGCGTGGAGCCCCATGATGTGGGCGCCTCCGGCCACCATGCTGTTCAGACAGCTGTTCACCACCACGTCAACCGCTGTGGGGACGGGCGGGTGAGCGCAGGCGAGGGGCGCCGTGGGCACAGGGCCGGGGCTGGGGACTGGGGGCCGTGCTACCTTGGGCCTCGCCCTGCAGTGGGTACACCTTCCGCTGGTGGGTGGCGGGGTCGATGCGGATGGCGGTGATGCGGGTGGGCAGCAGTAGGCTGCGCTGGCCAGAGGCCAGGATGAACACCTGCAGCATGGTGTCCAGGAAGGTCACCCAGCTGTCCCTCCACAGCAGCCGGCCCGAGGTGCCTGCATAGACAGCCCGGTCCGCTCAGCGGGGCGCCTCGGCACGCGGGCCGTGGCCACGCGCACACCTGCCAGGGCCCGGCGCCCCACAGCCACCCTCCCACCTGGCTGAGCCGCAGCACAGCCCCTCCCGCCTCCTGCCCCACCTTCGAGGCTGGCGTCCAAGATGCCCTGGAAGTGGGGGCCGTAGTCGTAGCCGCGCAGACGCAGCTCCTTGTATGAGTCCGCCTGCGTCAGGCGGAAGGCCCCGGGGTTGGCGGCGGCAAGGTCTTCTGGGTGGTCGAAAATCGTGGGGTCGGGGTCCTCCCACTGGTACACCTTCCCTGCGGGCAGGCACAGAGGGGCCTGAGTGGGCTGGCGGGCAGCATGGCCGCAGGCAGCCCCTCCAGCACACGCCTTGGCCGCCGCCCCACTCACCGCTCACTATCAGGTTGCCGTTCTCGGACACCTCAAAGGCGCGGGAGGCCTCCAGGAGCCGCACCTCCAGGGGCACAGTCCCTGTGGGGCAGCGGGGGTCAGAGGCTAGAGGTCAGCAGCCCCTCCCCCAGCCACCCCCGCCTCTGGCCCGGGGGGTGTCCCTCACCCGTCTTGGGCAGGATGGTGGCCTGGTGTATGGTCACGTCCTCGAACACCACAGGCATCTGCTCCACAGCCAGGCCCAGCGTGCGGGCCAGTGTCTTCCAGACCAGGTGCAGGTAGCCAGTGGCAGGGAAGATGACGCGGCCGTCGATGCAGTGGTCCACCAGGTAGTGGTCGGGAGACTCGGGGCTGGCGTCTGCAGGTGGGCACGGCCTCAGCGCTGGCTCGCGCAGGGAGGGGCAGCCTTCCGGCCCACCCACCCGCCAGCCCTGGGCCTGGCTCACCGATGCTGTAGACGGTGGCCGAGGAGGAGCTGGAGCCGTTGGGGAAGTCCTCCGCAGCAGGCACGTCCCACGTCTGGCTGTGATCCCACTTGATGTGCGGGGAGATGAGGGGCGTTCCCCGGGGGGCCGGGAACTCCACGGGCGGGAATAAGGCGTTGGGGTTGACGTCAATGCTGGCAGGGGGAGGGAGGTGAGTGGCACACCTGGCCTTCCCCAGGGCCTGGGGAGCCGGCTCAGCCGGGGGGGACCAGGGCTCAGGGCACCCACGGGCTCTGGGTCCAGCCCACCCGCTGCTAGCCTGGGCCAGCGAGGGGCTCCCAGCCGTTTGCACCGCCCACCGTTCCCTGGTCCCGGGGAGAAAGGGCCGTGCGGCCCCCAGGAGTGTGGGGCGGGGAGGGGACCCACCCTGCGAGGTGGACCTTGCCCATGCCGGCCAGCAAGAACTCCAGGTTGTCCCTGTGGTCCTTCTTCATCAGGGGCACGATGGTGCAGCTGGGCTTGAGGCCACGCTTGAGCACAGCCTGTGGACGGGAGCGCGCTGGGTAACCTGCCGCCCCTCGCCCGCCTGGACCAGCACCCCCGCGCGGGCCGGGCACGCCTACCTGCAGCAGCGCGTGGGGAGCGATCTCCAGCACCACCGCGTGCTCGGGGACATGCCGCAGCGCCTCCTGGAACAGCACGGGGCTCACCAGGTTGTTCACGTTGTACTCGGCGGAGGACGTGCGCGCCAGGCTGTCCCGCCACTGCGCCTCGGGGATGGAGGTGCTGAGCCAGCGCGCGGAGCGGGGCTGCGGCTCCCGGATCACCTGTGCACACGGCCAGGTCAGCACCGAGGGCGCGGGACAGAGGGACAGCGGCACCCCGGCCCTCCGGCCAGCCCAGCCCACCTTCTTGAGCGCCTTCAGCAGCGTGGGTGCGATGGCCTCCATGAAGTAGGAGTGGAAGGCCATGCCGCCCGTCCGCACCTCCTTGGCAAACACGCCCTCCTGCTTCAGCTGCTCCACGAACTCGGACACCGCGGCCTGGGCGTCGAGGGCCCCAGGTGAGCTCTCCTGGGCTGTGCACCCACCGCCACGTAGTCCACCCCGCTCGGGTCTCAGAGCAGGTGGGGGTACCCGGAGCCCACAAGGGCATGGGGAGGGACGGGGTAGGGTCCACACGGTGATAGGTACAAAGGACAGAGGAGCCTGCGAAGGCCACAGGGCTCACCTGTGGTCCCGAGATGGTCACTGTGTCCTCAGAGTTGTGACAGGCAGGCACCACGCCAGGGGGGCAGCGCTGCTTACATTCCTCCCAAGACAAACCTACGGCAGAGCCAGCCTCAGGGGGTGGCCGTGAGGACCCCGAGTCCTGCCCTGTAGGCCCTTCCCTGCCACCAAAGACGCCCGGGGCATCAGTGGTAATGATGGGTGCAGTAATGACAGCCGCCAAGCTGAGCCTCCCCGAGGCACTTTCGCCCCTGCTGTGTGATCGTGGGAGCCATTGCGGGGGTGGAGGTGCCATCCCAGGTGTCTCCCAGGTGGGGAGCCGGCTCTCAGCGCAGTAACGACGCCCTGGGGCCCAGTTGGGGACAGGGGCCTCAGCCCCAGGACGGGCTGTCGCGCGGACGCCTGGGCTGCCCTCTGCAGTCCGCTCCAGCCTCGACCTGCACGTGAGCCCCCAGGGCCCAGGAACGGGCGCCGACGTGGGAGAGCCGGGTGGGGTCTCGCCACCCGCTCTCGTGTGTGACGGAAACACGCGCAGGTCAGGTTCAGGCCTGATGGCGCCAGCAAGCACCCCAGACACAGGGTCACGGGCACAAGGCAGGCTCCTGGGGAGCTACGAAAGGCAGCAGGGGGAGGTGGCGCCTACCCACGGCCGCCATGGCGCCTGGGGGGAGGTTGGCCTCCTTGATGCACTGGCCCCTCCAGTAGGCGGCGAGGACAGCCTCCTCCTGGGACAGGCAGCCGTCGGCGTAGCCACAGGCCACCTCACCCAGGGAGTGCCCGATGATGCCGTCGGGCCTCAGCCCCATGGAGCTCAGCAGGTCCAGCAGGGCGATCTGGGGGCGGGGACGAGACGCGTGAGGCCGGCCGGACCCCTGGGCCATCTCCACCCACCCCTTCTGCCCTCCCAGACCACCTGGTGTGAAGGACCCAGACTGTGTCCCACAGGGCGCTCTAGGGCAGCGTGGGCTGGATGGGACCAGGACCCCCGGCCGGCACCAGGCAGGTGCCCAGACAGATGCTCGGGCCCCACCTGGATGGCCGTGAGGCTCACGAAGGCGTGGACGATGTCGTCGAAGGTGTTTTCCTCTGTGCTCAGCAGCAGCTCCGACACCTTCAGGCCCAACGGCTTCACAGCCTCATCAGAGCGCAGGATGGAGTCGCGGAAGCTGCCCAGGCGCATGAGGCTCAGCCCCATCCCGCACCACTGCGTGCCCATCCCTGTGCAGAAAGCGCGTCAGGGAGGCGGCCACCAGTGGCAGCCCGCCACCCTCGCCCTGGGAAGGGGCCTGCCCCGCACACTTCCAGACTGCAGGCTGGGCTCACCGGAGCAGATGAACCACAGTGGGCGCTCGCCGGCAGGCACCTGCTGCACCTCCCAGCCACCGCCCACGCTGCCCAGCACGGCATAGCCCCTGAAGGGCATGGTGGCCGCAGGCGTGGCCGCGATGTCGTTCAGCATGCACACAAAGGCCAGGTCCTGGCTGTGCTGCTGGCCCTGCTTGAGCAGGTCCTGCACGGCCTCAGGGGTGCGCCCACTGGCCTGCAGCAGGCGGGGCAAGGCTGCGTGTGGGGCGGGGGCAGGGGGCAGCCGTGCGTTGGGCTGCAGGATGACGTGCACATTGGAGCCACCAAAGCCGAAAGAGTTGATGCCCACGTTGCCACCGTGGACGGGCAGGGGCCGGTCCACCACCTGCAGCCGCCCGTCGAGGAGCGCAGGGATCTCGGGGTTGGGGCTGTGGAAGTGCAGGTTGGGGGCCCACAGCCCGTGCTCCAGCGACAGCAGCACCTGTGGGGCACGTGGTGGTGGGCGGCTGCCCTGGCTCCCACGCCGCTGGCCTCAGCCGGGTGCAGGTGCCTCCCCAGGAGACCCCCATGCAGGCCCAGGGTGGCCACACTGTCTGACACACTTCCCGGCCCCCACTCCAGTCCCGCCATGGCAGGGGTCTGACGACCAAGCTGCTTCAGCCCTGTCCTCCAACTGGTCCCCTGGGTGGGGCGCTCAGCCTATTCTAGGCCCTAGGCCCTCCCCTGGGGCCCTGCCGTCTCCCAGCCCGACAGGGACACCAGAGACTGGCTGTGGAGCTGGACACTAAGGCCCCGCAGCCAGGCCCCGTCCAGGCGTGGCACCACGAGCTCCCGAAAGGGGGTGAGAGGTGGGGGCCTGGGTCCTTGGCTGTCAGGTCACCAAGCCCAGTGCTCCTGGGGGTCACCCTAAGGGGCCCCATGCACCTGCCAGTTCGTCTGGAAGCTGTAAGGACAGGCGGGTGACGTCTGCTCCCACGGCCTGTTGAGACTTCAACAGCCATTCGCCTCCCTCCCTCCCTCCCTCTTCCGCCTGAGCTGCTCCTCTGCGGGGCTCTGCAGGTCCCACCCAGCGAGGGGCTGCCCACGCTCCCCCCTGCCCCAGCCGCTCCGCCTCTGCTCAGTCAGGCCCCGGCACAGCCCACGAGCAGGGGGCGTGGGGGCTCCCGGCAGGCAGGAAGCCGTGTGGAGTCCTCGGTGCACAGCCGCCTCCTGAGGAGGGGCAGGGACTGGGGCCCACAGAGCCCACTCCGCCTACCTTGGCCAGGGCCGCGAGCCCTGAGGCAGGCTCCGGGTGCCCCATGTTGGACTTGGTGGACCCGACCAGCAGAGGGTCTTTGCGGGAGGCACACAAGGCTCGCACGATGCTGTTCAGCTCCTGCGGGTCGCCCACCTTCAGGAACACGGGGGGGTTGGGCTTTAGCCGGGCTGCCGCCCAGGCGCGGAGGGGATGGAGGGCGTGGGCCAGAGGCAGGCCTTCACCTTGGTGCCTGTGCCATGAGCTTCGATGTACTCGAGGGACTCGGGGGCCACCCCAGCTGGCAGGTACAGGGAGCGGATAAGCTGCTCCTGGGACTCTCCAGAGGGGAAGGTCACGCCTGTGGAGGGCTCAGGCTCAGCACCCGCCGCTGCCATCCCCGCCTGCCACCCACCGCCCGCCGCCCCTGCCCAGAGCCCACCTTGCTCCTTGTAGCCATCTGTGTTGGTGCCGGCGTTCAGGATGGTGGCGTAAACCCGCCGGGCCAGGGACTTCTTGGTCAGCAAGACGGCCACCACGGCCTCTGAGCGGCAATATCCGTTCCCTGGGGCAGAGCAGAACCTCTCGTGGGGCTCGGCCCACCCACACTCCTGCTGGGAGCTCTGGGCAGGAGGTATGGGGGCAGAGACTCCCCGGCAGGGCTCTCGGGGGTCTGCGGAGACACCCACCTGAGTCGTCAAAGGACTTGCAGGTGCCTTCGGGGCTGAGCATGCCCAGCTTCATGAACTGCACGGAGGTGTTGGGCTTCAGCAGCAGGTTGATGCCCCCCACGATGGCGGCCGGGCACTGTCCGCTGCGGATGGCCTGGAAGGCGCTCTGCAGGGCCAGCAGGCTCGAGGAGCAGGCCGTGTCCAGGGCAAGGCTGGGCCCTGCACACAAGGGCACATAGCGCTGGGGCCTGGCCGGGGCAGCATGGGCTCAGGGGATGTGGCTGGAGGCCCTCCCTGGGAATAGTGAGGTCAGACCCCTGCGGGGTCTCCCCAGCACACGCTGGACACACGTCTTGCAGCTCATGCTTAGCATGTGGGAGGCCCGGGTGGCACCCACCTCTGAAGTCGAAGAAGAAGGACAGCCGGTTGGCCATCATGGCACGCTGGCAGCCCACCATGCTGTAGCCCAGGAGCGTCTCAGGGTCTCGGCTCAGGGCCTCCGAGGCCTCGGAGCCACCCACGCCCACCCAGACGCCGGTGTGTGTCCCTCGGAGCGAGGCTGGGTTGATGCCTGCCAGGAACACGGTGGTCAGGCCTGTGGCCCTCCTGGCCCACTCTGGGGGTGGGGGCCTGGTCTCTGGGCCTCACGGTTGGGGTGAGAGGGGCTCCCTCCCAGCAGGACTCTGGAAGGGGCCAGGGAGGGTGAGGTGTCCAGCCAAGGGTACAGAGCAGAGCCACAGCGGGCGGCCAGCCCCAGTAGGGCCCAGAACTAAGAACCGGGTCAGAAGAAACGGAGCGTCAGGACAGGCGGGCCCAGGAGAGGGCGCCAGAAGCGGCCAGAGGCAGCTGTGGGAGGACAGAGAGCAGCATTGTCCCTGACTCCTTTGGCCCTGGCGTCACCTGAGTGTCTATGAGCCCCTGGGCCAGGGAGTGCCCCAGCTCCAAGGGCACCTGTCCTGGGCAGAGGTGACACAGGGAGAAAAAGGCCGCATGTCTGGCAGGAAAGAAAGATCTGCGGGTTGGGCCTGGGAACAGGAAAGGCCCAAGAGACATGGAGCCCGCCAGGGTCCCCCGCCAGCCCACCCAGGTGGACAGGGGCCAGCTGGCACCTACTGATGGGGAGGGGACCAGGCGGTCTCCCGAGGCTTACCCTCTCGCCCGGAGGGCCTTCTACGCCCAGCAGGGGGAACGAACCTGGTTCCCCAGCCCGAGGTCACACAGTGGAGAGGCAAGGATGGGCTCCCCACTTGCAGGCCCCCAAAGCAGGGGAGGGAAAGGTGGAGCAGAGGCTGCCTGGGGGGCCTGGGCTACAGGTTGGCTGGGACAGCAGGACGGGAGGGACACAGAGGACGGCCACTACTGCCTGCGGCTGGGCTGGGGGTAGCAGCAAAAGGACGGACGCAGGGGCTGCTCCAGAGCCTCCTGCTCTGCCTATCATCCCAGCCCTCGCCCCAAGACCAGCCGGACCAAGACCAAGGACCAGTCAGGAGTGAGGAAACTGGGGCACCGGGCACACCTGGGACACCTCCGGCATGCAATTGTGAAACCGTGACCCGCCCACGCCTCCCCGAGCCCGCTGGCTCCAGATCATGGGCCAAACCAGGCTGGGGACATGGCCAGAAGGCAGGGCTGGTCCCGTTCTACCCTACAGAGGCTGTGGGACACGGGGCACGGCCCAGGCCAGCCAGTAGCCCTAAGGACCCACCTCCATCCACAATGGCCTCGTAGGTGACTTCCAGCAGCATCCGCAGCTGGGGGTCCATCGTGTGAGCCTGCTTGGGATGCACCCCGAAGAAGGAGGCGTCGAACTTGGACAGGTCCTTCAGCTTGCCAGACCGCCGGGGCAGGCCATAGAGCCCTGCAGGACACGGTAGGCGTTTTCCTCCCCTGACCAGGGCCACTGGAGGGCAGGGGCACCTGAGGGACGGTGCAGGCCCTGGCAGTGGCCGTGGTGGAGTTATGGAGCCTCAGCTGCAGCCAGGAGGCCCAGGCAGCTAAGCAGGCTCCCGGGGAGGGGCGGATGGTGAACCCCAAAGCAGGGGCCAGGCTGCCAGGTCTGCCACGTGGGACCCCAGCCCCTCCTGAGAAGGGCCCTAGAGCAAAGCTTGGTGAGGCACAGCTAGGGGACCCTCTGCCTGGCCTGGCCAGTGCCTGGGCTCTGCCATGCTGACTCACACCCCGTCCGGCAGGTAGGGCTGCTCTGCGGGAGATCGTACTGGGTGTGGGAGAGTCAGGCCAGCCTCCCTAGGGTACCTGGTGTCCTGTCTGCCACCTCAGGATCCAGGAAGGAACGGTGTGGCCGGAGGGCTCGGGCCCCAGCCCATCACCCATGCTCTGAGCCTTGCTTCTCTGCCAATAGGCAGATGAGGCCTGCTCAGTCCTCGGCCTCCCAGCCATCTGGGGAGCCTCCGGCAGGCTGAGCCCACCCCCCCAGGCCATCCTGGCGCCATGTCCAGGAAGAGGCTGCAGCCGGGCCTTGCCTGTGGGCGACCAATGTCTCTGCAGTTGCAACTGGGGTTAGGCCAGCCCCAGCAGCAGTTGGAAAACAGCACAGCAAGAGGCTGCCTGAGGGACAGAGGTGGAGTTTGAACCTCCCACCTCGAGCAAGTGGATCCCCACGGCCACTCACCAGCTTTCCACCGCCGGTCATCATCTGTGACCATGTCCACACCGCCAATGAGGTTGGCCCAGAACTCCTCCAAGTTCTCCGACTCGGGCAGCTTCCCAGACATGCCGGCAATCACCACCTCCTCCATGGCTCTTCTGTGGGGAGGGCAGCGTGGCCCCACAAAGGCTCAGCCCCAGTCCAGCACCCTCAGCCTCAGCACCCCAAATGGTGGCTGCTCAAGTTTCGCTGGCAAGAATCGCCCGACCTCCCCATGGGGCCTCAGCGCAGGACCTGGCCTAGCTGCCTCTCTCCCCGCCGTCCTACCCGGACAGCCTGAGAGCAGGGCCCAGAATGCCCCCCTGAGAGACCTCTAAGACCCAGCTCCTGAGCCCTGCCCTGCTGGAGGGGCTGGGTGCTCTGGGCTTTGGCAGTGGCCTGTCACCTCTGGGGCCCTGCTGCCCCAAGTGCCCAGCAATCAGCTGCCTCTGCAGGGGTGCTTGGCTTTGATTTGGCCAAGATTCAGCCCTGCAACCTCCTGCGGCTAGTGCTCCTGGGCCATCCCTGGGGGTCTGGGGACCTCAGAGCGGAGCAGGCAGGCCCTTCCGGGAGATAGAGAATGAGACCGCCCCAGTACCCAGCCTGTTAAGAGCCAGAAAGGAAATGCAAAGGCCAAACAAGGCGGGTCCCAAAGCAGGGTATGGGGGCACTCGGCAGCCACTCACTCTAGGCCACATGGAGAGGCCCCCACGTTAGGGGTGGGGCCTGCTGCCAGGCCAGCCCAGGAACTGCACGGTTTGGGAGGGACCCGGTGGGGACAGGCCTGCACTCTGGGTGCCAAGGCCCGGCAGGGCTCTGGGGAAAGGTACCCCTGCTCCATGATGGACTGACCCAGCCAGTCCGACCCCTCCAGCAAGGTCCAACCTGGAGAACCACCCCTGGGCAGATACCAGGCAGGTGCTGCCCAGCTCCAAACACCTGTGCAGGTGAGGCCTCAGGACACTTGCTCGCCTCCCTGTACCCAGAGCACAGCAACCGCCTGGGACCCAGGGCCCTAAGACGTCCACAGAGGAGCCCACGCCAGTAGGCTGCAAGTCTAGCAAGGGGCTCCTGTGCAGCCTGAGGCAGAGAGACGAGGCCAGGGCTGTTCCAGTCACTTCCACCAAGGCCCCAGGGCCTCACCGCCAGCCCAGTGAGTGCAGGGAAGCGGCCTCCCTTGGGCGCCCGGCCGGGCTGTCGCGGCAGGGAGATGGCTGCCTCCCACCGAGTGAATAAAGAGCCCTTGGCCGCCGAGGCACCGGCTCCAGAACGCGCCGCTCTGGTCTCCCTACTTGCTATTCACGCGGAGTCGGCGGGAGGCAGGGGGTGAAGACCCCCGCGGCGCCCAAGTCGGGGGCTGTCCGGCCCCCTGCGCTTCGGCCCGCGGCGCCCGCCTGATGGGGAGGCCGGTCCCCTCCGCGCGCTGCTCCCTCCCAGGTCCCGCTCCGCTGGGCCTCGGCCTTCGGGAGCCCCGAGGAGGCGGCGGCCCCGGGGCCTTTGTGGGGGCGGGAGGCCGGTCCGGGCCGCCCGGGGGCGAAGATGGCTGTCCGCGACCCTCCCGGTCCCGGGCCCCGCCGCCGCCCTCCCCGCGTCGGGCCCGGGCGCCCCGAAGGGGCTGGGACACCGAGCCCGGGCAGGCCGCGTGGGGACTCTGCTGCAGGCGCGTCGGGCCACGCGCTTCCCGAGGCCGGAGGACGCGGGCTCGCGCCGCCCCGCGAGCGCCCCCGGCCCGGCCCCGCGAGCCCCGGCCCGGCC